GTGTGTCCTCCTGGTTTTTAATTCCATGTTAAGTAGCCTGATTGCAAAATGATTGGCATCCTCTGTTTCTATTTGCCAAAAATTCAGTTTTGTGCTATTCATATTTCCACATGGCAGCAATTGCTTTCTACGAGAGATCTTAACTCATTGTGTGTGTCAGCTCAATCTCCTCAAATCATGGGGAAAACCTCTGCTCATTTTGTTTCCCTTTGCATGTAGTGGTGTGGAGTGTCCACTATACTAGATGGCAGGTAAACTATGGAAGAAAAGAGCAGTTTCTGAAAGAATTGACTGACTATAGCTGGCAATGGCATTTCCATTCCTGATATACAAAAGATCCTTCTCTCACTCCTGCAGGCTTTTATATGGAAGTAATCTTCCACCACCATAAAGGCAGATTGCATTTGCCTGGAGAGAACTGCCCAATCTGAGCTAATGCCACAAGTCATGAGAATCCTTAACTCAATTGTGCGTATACATAGTAATGTTTTTTCACTGACTGGTGCCTTCACTCATCTGCTACAGTATCACTTGACTCTGCACACACTACAATAATCCAGAAACATGTTCTGCTTCTGTTTCTTCACGAGAGTCTTCGCTGGCTGGGAGTCATGGAAAAGGAGGACATGGTATTCCAGAACATTTTATCCTGTCATGCAGAACTGGACCTGCTTTGGTTGTCACGTCTTCCATTTACTTATGAACCCATGTTCTTCCTCTTCCAAGTTTCCATTGACTGAAGTCTGTCGGCAGCATTTAAGTTGTATTTTCTGGTAGTGTCACCACAGTAGCGTGCCTTCCTTTGTTTTATGTGGACTGTGATTTTTTTTTTACCTTATTTCAAGCATAAAACATAGTTAAATCTTATTCTGACCGTTACTAATACTTCTGAGATCCCCAGTGACCCATTTCACATGGATGGAAAATACTGACTAAAGTGGCAGTTTCAATGCAAGTGGGTGGAGCAGAGAGTATTTGTTGTTTTTAACATATGACTCTTGGCAGCATAGACAGGCATGAATGTTCCGGGAACTGCCTCTTGAGCATAGAACTCAAGCCGGAATCGACAGGTTGAATTGATTTTTTTCCAGCCATTTATTTTTATTACCACTTAGAAATAGAGCAGGAGTTCTCTAGCCTGGTTAGAACAAACGGTGTCCCACAGATATTTCATGCCATTCTTTACACATTTTCAGTATTGCACCGTGTTTTTGGAGAAAGGTATTTGCCAAACTGCTTTAAAGCTTGTATGTGGAGTGTAAATTTGTACATGACCTCATATTTGTATTGTACTGTACATGTACCAAAATATCTTTGCCAAGCCCTAATGCCTGATACAGTAAATAGAAGGGAAGGATGGAAGCTGTAATCCAAGAGCAGTGGTTCAGCAGTAATCAGACTTCCATGTAGCTTTATTTTAAAATACTTCTATGAAAAATGGTTTTAAAAGCCTAGCACATTTTTGTGGATCATTGTTTTAAAAATAAAATACCACTTAGGCTCCTAGCTTTGTTGGTGTGGTGCCTCAGGGTATGAATGGATGGTTTGGGAGCGTGTTTGTTTAAATAATAATTGAGATTAACACCCCTTTAGTCTGTGTGGTTTTGGATTGGTTTTTAGCAGCAGGGTTTTGCTTTTGTTTTGCCAGTACCTTGTACCAGTTCTTCAGCAGAAGTGCTTTTCTATTCAGATCTCACTGTAACTAGTTTTTCCTCTTGCTGTCATCCACTAGACTTGACAATTGAGCTTTTCTTTATTTTGAGACATGAATTTGCTGACTCCAAATTATTATGTCCTGACCTTGCAACTGGTGACATTTGGAAGTACAGTATAGAGATCTTTCGGCTTCAGTGGGTCCCTATGCTGCAAACGTCCATTCAAATATCTTTGCAGATGAGAGCCTATCACAGTTGCCAAGCTCAAAGATTGCAACAGTTGGTGCCTCCGCAAGGATGGTGTCATTTTCTCATAGTTATTGCGTTGACAACCGTGGTGGAAGAAGATGTGGGAAAGGGAACTTTGTAGGGGGCCAGAAGTATTTTTCTCAAAATGGCAGCCAGTACTATCTCTGCTCCCTGTGACATAGACTTGAATAGTCACTGCCTTTTACAGTGGGAGGAAGAGTAGCTGCTGTGGGAGTTTAATTTATATTTTTAACTTTTGCTTGATTGAGATGGGCACTGAGGTTGGTAACAGACTGTAGTGATATGGGCTGTCTGTCCTCAGGAATGTGAACCGTCTGCATCTGAGCAAATAAACAGACTCCAGGTCTTTCTGTCTGTCGAACACAACATGGCCTTTCTTTTTCCAGGATTCAGTAACAATCCAATAATAGTCCCCATAAATGTGCTTCTCTTCCCAGGATTATTAAAAAGAAAATCTGTTCCCTTCTCGGACTCAAGCAGGAGTGCACCATTTGCCCTTCTCTTGGGCCTGGTCTCTCCCCTAACAGATTCTCATCACTTACCTCCTTCTGCTTTTGTACTCAGCAGCTGGGCCTGATTAGGGTTGCCAGGCGTCTGATTTTCGACTAGAACGCCTGGTCGAAAAGGGACCCTGGCAGCTCCAGTCCGTGGCACAGTGGGGGCCTGGGGCTAAGGCAGGTCCGTGTGGATCCTGGAAGTGGCTGCCAGATCCTTGCAGCCCGTAGGCACATGGGCAGCTAGGGAGGCTCAGCACTCTGCCCCTGCACCTAGTGCTGGCTCCACAGCTCCCATTGGCCAGGAACCGCAACCAATAGGAGCTGCGGGAGAGGCACCTGTGGGTGCAAGGGCATCGCACACAGCCTTCCTGGACGCCCATGTGTCTAGGACAGAGGTGGGCAAACTACGGCCCGCAGGCCACATCTGGCCCGCTGCACGGTCCTGCCTGGCCCCTGAGGTCCTGGCCTGGGAGGCTCACCCATGGCCCCTCCCCTACTGTTCCCCCTCCCCCGCAGCCTCAGCTCACTGCACCACCAGCACAATGCTCTGGGCTGTGAGCTCCTGGGGCAGCGCAGCTGCAGAGCCATGGCCTGACCCGGTGCTCTGTGCTGCATGACGCAGCTGCCTGTCCTGGTGCAGCCGCGCTGCCAGCCACCAGTGCTCCAGGCAGCGTGGTAAGGGAGCAAGGAGCAGGGGGCGTTGAATAGAGGGCAGGGGAGTTCTGGGGGTAGTCAGGGGCCGGGGATGTGGATAGGGGTCGGGGCGGTCAGAGGGTGGGGAACAGGGGGGTTGGATGGGGCAGGGGTTCTGGGGGGGCAGTCAGGCAGGAGAGGGAGGTTGGATGGGGCAGCAGGGGGCAGTTAGGGGTGGTGGGTCCAGGGGCGGTCAGGGAGAAGGGGTGTTTGGATGGGGCAGGGGTCCCAGGGGCGGTCAGGGGACAGAGAGCGGGGTGGGAAGGGTGGATGGAGCAGGGGTCACGGGGGGGGGGCAGTCGGGAGCGAGAAGCAGGGGGTCTCGGATAGGGGGCGGGGGCAGGGCCATGCCTGGCTGTTTGGGGAGGCACAGCCTCCCCTAACCAGCCCTCCATACAATTTCAGAAACCCGATGCGGCCCTCAGGCCAAAAAGTTTGCCCGCCCCTGGTCTAGGAGCCGCAGGGACCTGGTGGCCACTTCTTGGGAGCCGTGGTAAGCGCTGCCAGGACCCCGAACCCCGATACCCCTCCCCAGCAATGTGTTGTGTTGTTTATATGAATGGTCTCTTTTGTCAAGCTTGGCCTAGTGTAAAATGTTCTTTTTAAAACAAGTAGAGGGACAGGCATTTGGACTGGGCATACCAGGAGCAGCAGATTGAGAATGGCAAGGCTTTGTGTGGATGTGTGCAGGGGTATCAGTAAGTCCTCCTGGGTTTTGGATTTTCCAGCCCTGCTTTCCACTTGCCTAGGTTTTCAAATACCTGAATTGACAAATAGACCAAACAGCTTGACAGGGAGAGAGAGAAGGTTTTTTGGCATTCGAGGACCTGTCCTTTGATATGCATAAGCCTCCTCTTGTCTGCTTGGAGCTATAATTGAGGCTACTGTCTTGCTTGATTTTTACTAATGAGGTCTACCAACAGTCACCAGCCACAGCATGGTTCATTTTCCAGTTTGGAGTTTGAATGTTTGCCTGTTTGACAATCAAAAGACTAGCATCTTGGGGAAACCACCCTCTTCAATGATTTCACAACCATTGTGTGGTGGGGGCAGAGCTTCTCAGCTGAACTTCTCTCTGAGTGTTGCTGCATTCACCCTCCTGATACCAGTGTCTCTTTTCTGGCCTCATCTGGATCTTTTTCCTATGGTGGCACCAGTCAAATCATTAGTTGCTTTGTTAAGTTCATGCACCGTCAAGGTTTCTTTCTTTCTTTCTTTCTTTCTTTCTTTCTTTCTTTCTTTCTCCCTGACCAATGTGTGTGTGTTTTAAATATATAATAGCGATCGATAAGAAGCCATGTGTTAGCCCTTTCAAAACTTTATTTAATTTTTTGCTTCAGCTCTGGTACAGCTTAGAGTGCAAATACTTAAAAAGCTTCAAAACCTGGAAAACACTGAAATCCTAATAAATCTTTAATTGTCTTGGGTGGGTGTGTCTTTGGTATTAAAGCATTTAGCCAGTTTTTGTTTGATCTGAGTTGAGTAAAATATCAGCAAACAAGGTATATTTGTTTTCTCTCATTAGTAAGTTTCAAGTTCAGTTAAAAGCAAAGAAGTTGACATGTTGAAAGCTTGTTGAAAGAAACCTCTCCAGCCGGGCTGCCTTATGCTGTGTTGATGATAATAGAAAATATTGAATGTGTCTGTACTGTGAAGTATGCCCGAGCTGTCACTGTGTATTTGAGAGCAGTGTATGGAACTGGCTGGAGAAAGAAGAAACAGACATGGAAAATATGAGGTGGCCCCCGACTTTGATGGGCCCATCATTTTTCTTCATGGTAGTATTATATTGTAGAATGAATTTTGACACTGTTGCATTGTTCCTACCTGAAGAGGCCAAACTAACTCTGACTATCCAGTTCTGTGTCAACTCTTCAATCTCTAGGAAAGAAAGAAAAAGTTTGAGAAGGACGGTGAGAAGTTTTATTCCATGCTGGATCGCCATTTGCATTTATCGTCTAAGAAGAAAGAGTCCCAGTTACAGGAGGCAAGTGTGAAATTTTCCTTAAAAGTTTCTGTTTCTTGGAGTCGAGAAGAAGTAATAGCAGGTACATTGGACTCCTGGCCAACGCACATCTCTTTCAACAATGACAGATTAAATCTATGTAAAGTTCCTTTTGATGGGAATGGTCCATCCAGACTGAGCTTGTCTCTAACTCAGGGGGTAGTCATTTCACATCAAGTTTGAAGCACATTGACAAGGCAGTCTAGGGAAGCTGGTGTAATCTATGCTTAGACAGATGTCTCTCTGGCCCTCTACTGCCTAGATTTGAGTCTGCTGCCACCTCAGCTAACAAACTTGGTCCTTGAGCTCAAGCCGAAGAGACCCTGCTTTTAGACCCAGAAGTCCTGGTGTCAATCCTCCATGGGTGTGTGAGGCAGGGACACTCTTACAATTGAATTCTCTGTGCCTTTGCTGTACTGGTTCTGTGGTTAGATAGGGAATTGCCGTTTGCAGGTGTCTCAGTCTGGCACCTTTCACAAAAACTAATGCACTTTAAAAAAAAGACTTATTCCTTGCAGAGTGGCACTAAGTTCTGAATTCATATGAGCGTATGGGATGCAGCTAAGAGACATTGTAATGGGAAATGTGACCAATGTTCCAGTCAGATATGGTCCCCATAGAGCATTCAAAACCTGGGTTCACTTCTTTTGTGGCTTGAGAAGTAATAGCTATCACTTGCAGGGAAATATACAGACACCACTAAAGAATTATTATTCTTTTATGCGATTTTTTCCCACCCTCTCTCACGCAGGCTGACTTGCAGGTTAATAAAGAGAGACACAATTTCTTTGAGTCATCCCTGGAGTATGTGTACCAGATCCAGGAAGTGCAGGAGAGCAAGAAGTTCAGTATTGTGGAGCCGGTGAGTGCCTCCTTTTTATCATCCCACTCTCACATTTATTGACTTGCCCAGGTGAGCAAGGAAGGGTGGGAAATGTCAAATTGGATCCTGTCCTACTAACAATTCAATGTAGGCCCCTATGATGAGGCAAAGCCAAACGTACAGCATTAGCGATCTTTGTTTCACTACCTCTGCTGCTGCTTCATGAAGATAAAGAATAGTGAGGTCTTCTTTTATCTCTAAAAGTGAAATGTGCCTAACAAGCACATTGCTACAGATTTTGCTAAGGATTGTCCCATTCACCTTGCGTGTGGTGAGATGTAGTAGCCCTTGAAGGTTGAAGAGTGACACTAAAGGGAGAGATGCCTCCTGGCCCAGCTGCCTGCTGTGGTACAGGCCTGTCTGGTGCAGGCTCAGCACTTTAACAGGGAGCCTGTGGATCACAGCTCATTATGCTGGTTGAATGAATAACTGTACCCTGGAGCAGGACCTCCTCGGGTAAGTGTACATAAGGAGGGGCTCTTGGTGTATTCTATCGTTAAGTTTTTCATTGTTCTTCCAATGAAATCTTTCATTTCTGGTAGTGTTTTACTGCGACAGGCAATACTCATCCAAAGGATCATAGCTGTCATTTGTGGTGGCACAGACTTCTCATGGCTCTGGAGGCTGTTGTGGCCAGTGAACTACATCTCCATCTGCTCCCAGGATTGTGGGAGAATGAAAGTGTGTAACACCACCAATGCCCCTCTTTCTGCAGTCCTGCTTACAGCATAACTGGGTAGGATTTGTGGATCTGGCCCATGTCTGAACGATTTGAGCATAGTATGATCAGTTGACACTATGAGGCATATGTATAGATTACACTTTTTAAAAAAATCATTACTTGAGCAATTGTGAATACTTTCACTGTCAGAGCACTGGGTACAAATCCAATCTGAATTGGGTTCCTCTCACCTGACTCCATATTTTATTTTATGGCTGTTATTAATTCTGTTCGACTGTAAAGATCACAACAGGTTTGATTTAATTAAAACTGTTCTCTGTCCACCTTTTGCCTGACTTTATACTTGTCTTTGACGCAAAGGCTAATCCATCATCTTTCTTTCCTGCGCAGGTGTTGGCCTTTCTTCACAGCCTCTTTACATACAACAACCTGACAGTTGAACTCACGCAGGACTTCCTCCCTTATAAACAGCAGCTTCAGCTCAGCCTGCAGAATGTAAGTTCCTGTCCAGCTGCACACACACTCTCATATCATGCTCTCTGTCCTGTCATGCATCTAAATACCTCTGGCATAAAAACCTTTCCCATGCAGGGTGGACAACCCTTGTTTGCTTTCTGGGAGGGGCACAAAAATGCTCTTTCCTTCATAAAAATGCCTTCTGTCCATAAATTCCTTTCTTCCTAGAAAGAACAGCCTACAGGTGCTACTACAGCATATTTCATAGATTTAAGGCCAGAAGGGACTCCTGTGATCATGTACTCTGACCATCTGCGTAACACAGTCCATAGAATTTCACTCAGTAATTTCTGTATCAAACCCACTGACTTGTAGTTGTGGTAGGGTATGCTTTTTAGAAGGCATCCAATCCTAACTTTAAAGATTTCATGCGATGGAGAATCCACCACAGCCCTTGTAAGCTGTGACAATGGTTAATTAACTGTAAAAAGATTTGTACCCTTACATGGCCAACATTCATAGCCTCAGGAACAGGAGCTGTAAGGTTGTGCCAAACCCAGTGTGCTGCTAAATCCTTTTGAATTGCTGTACATGAGTTAAAAATAATTGATTTTTATTTTATTTGGAGAGGTGACATGATTCTGTATTAACAAAATGGTAGAAATGCAAGTGAAAACTTTGCAAACATTCTTTATGTGCATGATTATTCTTATCATAGGGCTTGAGCCAGTGCCCAAGTTAATGTGTTTGTTGCAAACTATGTGTACTCTGTAATGATAACTCATTCAGGTGCCTCATCCTTCTGGCGGTAAAATGTTCTGTTGTAATCTCTTCATTATTAAAGAACAAAAAGCTACCCTCCATCGTAACACATTTTGTTCCTCAGCCACCGTGTCCCCAGCTCCATGCATATGATGTTCAACCCTGTCTGTCCACTGACCGTTATGGGCCAGCTTTTCTGCTAGCTTCAGGACTTGGGGTTTTTTGATGCCATCTTTTCAATCTGCCACTGATCATTCCCACAAAAGTGGGCGTGTGGCATTTTGTGCATGCTGACAGTGCATTTGTGAGTGCCCGTTGGAAACGTGGGGGCCAGCTATCAGATTTGTTTGCCCATGTTCAAGCATCATTCTTTTGTTCTCTCACCAGACGAGGAATCACTTTTCCAGCACGCGAGAGGAGTTGGAAGACCTGAAGAAAAGGATGAAAGAAGCTCCCCTGACTTGCAAGCTACCCGGGAAGCCAACCATAGAGGGTTATCTGTACACTCAGGAGAAATGTAATGGCCTGTGTGCACATCTGTATACGTTAAACAAGTGTAGGGTCCAGCCGTAGGTTGTACAGCTTGCCTAGTTATGCGTCCAACTCTAAGCTTCATTCAGCTTGCAGCCAGGAGTCTGTATAGCTATTATAGCCATGGGGATGTTTGTATGGGTGTGCTAGTCACTGAGCCAGAAGCAAGTGGGTTCATATCTCCCATCCACCTTGTACCCACTGTCTTACACACCTGATCATGATCCGGAGCTAGCTGTAAATGCAGTGCAGTCTTGGTGTGGGTGTGGCAGGCACTGTTACAGATGCCATCTTTTGGCTGAGACAGGTATGCAAGATACTAATTGCCTTTTCTCTGGTGACTGTCTGGGTAAGATTGAATAATCCATTTTACAGATGGGGAGACTGAGGCGTGGAGGATTGAGATTGAGCCATTGTTTTCCAGAATAAACTTGGTATCCTGACCAATATTCTCTTGCTTAATAAGAAAGGTTTCAGTGCCCATCTATCTCAGGGTGAGCTACAGAGTGGCTGCAGTACCACTCCCTGTCTCTAACTTGCTGCTTCATCCCGTGCCTGGAGTCTAAAGCTTGAGTCTGAAGTGCTGGAGTCCAAATCTAGTCTATTCTTTCCTTTTTTATCAAGATTATACTATGTGCAATAATAGTTCAGTTGAGGCTGTAAATTATATATTGCAGAGAAAGCCCGTATCATAGAATCATAGAATATCAGGGTTGGAAGGGACCCCAGAAGGTCATCTAGTCCAACCCCCTGCTCAAAGCAGGACCAATTCCCAGTTAAATCATCCCAGCCAGGGCTTTGTCAAGCCTGACCTTAAAAACCTCTAAGGAAGGAGATTCTACCTTAGAATCAGGTAGGTAGATTCAGGTAGGTTCCTGATGTTTGATTTGATAGAGACACTGTGGGTGTTGAATCCCTCCCATTCCCTCCAGATATTCTTTCACCCCACTTTTGGCAGTGTCAGGGGTTTGAGTGAGTGTTAGTATTTGGACTTGTCCAAATAAATAATCTGATATATTAAAAGGGTTGCAAGAGCAGATGTCGAGGGCAGGCATACAGATGAAAAGGCCTAGGTGTATCTTTTTGGGGTTGTGAGAAAGAGAATGACAAATCAGTTCCAGACATAACTGAGACAGATAAGCTGTTATTTAGCCTCTGCTCCAGTGGAAACATGGCACTTTATGTGTCTGAAACACAGTAGTTCTTGTACTCTGAAAGGCAGAAGAGCTGTTACATGTAGCATGTTGGCCAAAGCACCGTCTGTTCCTTTGTTCTTATAGATGTTCATATTCACAACCTGCAAGTATGTAAGTAATGCACCAATATTTATAAGGCGAGTGTCAAATTTTTCTGGCCACTTCCATCTCACATGCCTTTCTTCCGGACAGTTCATACAGTGTCTCCACTTGTTGCACGAGCTGTAATACTCCAACCTATTGCATGTGATCTGGTCTCTAGTTGCTAGGATAAAAGCCTATTACTTACTGCCCACTAGTAGTTGACAGGGGCCAGTGTTGAAGGCTGGGGTTCAATCCCCTGCTGATAATCACTGTGTCTGTATGTGCATGTGGCAGTGGATTAGTTATATAAGCACAAACATTGACAACTCTGCAATCTCAGGTCAGATTCCTACAAGGGAAGCCACTATGCAGGCTGCCCATTCGGTAAATGGCCCATTTGATATATTTATGTAAACAGGGCAAATATTGGCTGCTCATAGAAGACTATCAACTAGTCTTGTGTATAAAGAAACCACACATACGCATACACAGTCATTTTAGACCACAAGGAAATTTTATACATTCCTGTATGATAATAAACTATATAAACTATATTTATTGCCTTTAAATTTGTTTCCTATGAATTGGTTAAAGAAAAAACAAGATGTTTGAAATAGTTCAGTTGGTTCTTTTGGGGGAAAAAAGGTTGAGGCACGTCAGGAACAGAATGGTTCAATTAAGACAATGGAAGAAGAGTGGAAAATAAATTGCAGGGTAACATAAATGTTGATGGAAGAGGATATTTTAATGTGCTCTTGTCTTTATTCTGTCATCAAAAAGTTGTCAGGAAAAAACAGTAGTGTCCATTTAAAAACAAATAAACATATACCTCCCCCACCCCTACCCCCAGCTCACCACCCACCCCCCCGGGATGTTGCCTGGGTACTTCTTGGCCTAGATTTACCAGTCCTGTTTGGTTTGCCATGTCAGAGTCACACAAATGCCCTTTCATCAGCTTTTCCTTCTGAGGAGGCTGGTGCTAACTTTTACCTCTACTTTCCTCCCTTGTTTGTGCTGCTTCTGTCACTGGCAATGCTGCAAATAGAGCTCCATGTTTTCCTCTGTGTCTGAACAGCCCCTAGCACAACAGCCAGGGCCGGCCCACAACCTTTTGGCATCTGAGGTGGGGAGCTCAAATGACGCCCCCATTCCCCTTGCTTGGGCCAAAACTTTGAAAGGTCTCAATTCTTCCTTCTTCCTGTTCTACCCCCCTTATGGTACTACTCTGCTACCATCCCCAATAAAGGAGAACTAACAACTTAAAATGCCTTGTTCAAAAATTTTAAGTAACACTTAACTTTCAAATGCCTGAACAGCAAATGTAACTTTTCTTGTCTGCATAGTAAACACTGGCATTGTTATCTGTTTGAATAATCAAAGTGGTGCTTTCCGTGCCTTCTTGGTTGCAAAGATTTGAACTGCTTCCTGCTGAAGGTCCACAGACTGGACCAGCTCATGCTCTATTGAGATGGTTGCAAGGCTGACCAGCCTCTCCTGTGTCATTGTGGAGCGTAGATGTGTTTTTATTAACTTCAGCTTGGAGAAGCTGCGTTCTCCATTGACAACTGTTACAGGAAGTGTTAGAAGTATGCGCAGAGCAACAAAAGCATTTGGAAAGAGGGTGGTCATCTTATTTGTGCACAAATATTCCAGAACAGCCTTTGGAGTTGATCCTGCTGAAATGTATCTTGAAAGGGCTTTCAGTTCATCACCTAAATCACTCGCATCTATATTGCGCATGTCATCATGTGTCAACACTGTCTCTAGTGCCCTGCATTGCTGGTGTAGGTCTTCTTCAGGTATAGTGAGGAGTTTTGGAATATCATACAACATCCCAAATATACTGCTGTGTTCCTTGAGCGGCATGAAACGTTCTTCAACTGACTGTATTGCACCATCGAGCACCTGGTTAAAGAATTCAACTTTGAATTGTTTGGGGTCTCTTATGGGATTATCCCGTGCCTCGTAATCAAAATGTCTTCTTCTTCGGTGACTCTTGTATTCTTGAATGGGTGGGAAAATGGCTTCAGTGTGAAGTTCCTCTGCCAACTTCTGTGGACTCTTCAGAACATTTTGAAATCCCTCATCTGACCGGTAAGGCTGTGGGTATGACTTTACTTTGTCTAGTTGTTCCACTGTTCCAGATATATCAAGGTCAACATCTTGGAGTCTCTTGCTTACAACATTTATTTCAAACAGTATGTCATGCCACAACACTAAGCCACATAGAAATTTGAAGTTATGTATGTTTCTGGTGATTCCATTTCCCTCTGCCACTGTTCTCCCATGAACAGTTGTTGTCATACATTATCCTCCCTAATGGCAACTATGGCATCATCTGTCTTCCCAGTTTGGTGTTTGATAGGCTTTATCACCTCCACTCGACTTTCCCATCGTGTGCTCTCAGTGGTTTCAGTGTCAGAGAGGATGTTCCCAGATGTTGTTTCAAAATTTGCCTCGATGAGTTGATGCAGAGAAAAATACATAGATGCTTTGAATTACATTTAAAAATTCAGCAGCCTCACTAGAAGCTGATGCTGCATCACTGATCACCAAGTTCAATGAATGAGAACTGCATGGGACAAAAAAAGCTTGAGGGTTTAACTCTCGGATCCGTGTCTGCACTCCTCTGTTCTTTCCTCTCATGTTGGCACCATTATCGTAGCCCTGACCTCTCATGTCAGCTATTGCAATTCCTGTATCTTCCAGCTTTTTAAGAAGCACATTTGTCATACCAGCTCCTGTAGTATCATCAATGTCCATACATTCTAGAAAATGTTCTCTGACAGTCACCATTGCAGGGACATTTTCACCAGGTTCTGTTGTTGTTATAAAACGCACCATTAAAGTCATTTGTTCCATATGGCTAATGTCAGTTGTACAGTCCAGAATAACAGAGTAGTATCTTGCTGACTTCAGATCTGCCACAATCTTCTGTTTGACTTTTGTTGTCAGTAACTGTATGATCTCATTTTGAATTGTTTTTCCAAGATAGTGGTGTGTGTATATTTCTTGGGTGGTGACTCTTCTTAGATGCTCCTGGAGTACAGCATCAAACTCAGCCATCAGCTCCACAATCTTAAGGAAGTGTCCATTGTTTGGCACATACAGCTGATCTGAAATGCCACACAGTGCTAGGTTTTGGGTACCAAGCATTCTCAAAATGGCAATGAGCCTTTTCAGAACATTTTGCCAGTAAAGAGACTCTGATGCAATCTTCTCTTGATGCTGATCATCTATGGTGGCCTTTAACCTTAGTCTCATCTCATGCTCTTTCCACCTATGGAATGCTCTCTGGTGATTTGCTGCCTTCTCATGGCATGCCAGATTTCTAGCCAGATTTTTCCAGTCCTTTGTTCCTGCAGAACCCAATGTGGCTGGAACATTAGACTGGAAGAGTTTGCAACAAAAACAGTATGCAGCATTCTGGGGTTTTGAGTACATAAGCCATGGCCTCTCCACTTTGTCACCATTGGGGATTTCACACCAGTAATGTATTGGATGGAAACTTCTATTTTCATTGTCTTTGGGGAACAAGAAGTTTTTCACTTGCTGTGGCCCATGCAGTACAAGGAAGTCCCTCAGGCTACTGCTCAAGTGGGTCCACAGCCCTGAATCATCTAGACTTAAGGAACTAAACTAAACTAAGCTGTTTCTTGCGCCTCCACCCACACTCTTCTCTGATCTACACTTTTCTTCAGGAATGTGCATGGTTACATCCATTTGAGATGAGATATGGATGCTGCAGTAGCTGCCAGGTCACCTGCACTCTGACTAACTGGAAGATCAGGCCTCTCCTCACCACTCACATCCTCACTGGGGTCGGAAGGCTCACCATGAACATTTGTGTCTATGTATCTCGGGAGCGCTCCTTCCTGCTTAGATAGAAAAGCTTCCTTTGCATTCTTTCTTTTTCTGAATGCTGCCCAGAGGGGTGTTTTCTTCTTTCACTCATGATTGCTGTTCTGTGCCAGCTATAGTGGCTCTCAACACTCAATTGAAGGGGACAAATAAGCAGGCTGGTAACAGGGCCTGAGTGAGGGAAGATCTCAGCATCTTAAGGGCCTAACTGGCTCCTACTACTTCAGTTGACTGCCTGTTCTCCTCAAGTGTGTTCAGGGAAGCAGCAGAAAACAGGAAGCTCCCTGAGAAGCTGGTGTTAATCATCCAGGCTCCTGGGGGTGCTAAACAGGTACATAAGAGGCTCCTCCTCCTCTCTCTCCCTGCAGCTCCTGCTGCTTTCTGTTATTCCCTCTCACCTTTTCTTCTGCCTGCCTGTTATATCTCTTGTGCCCCCCTTAGTCCTGCACAGCACTCCACCATCTCTGTGCATCTAGAGCAGAGAGAATACATATGCACCAGCAGCAAACACAATTTTCTACACTCTGGATCCTAGTGGCACCCCTCCTCCCCCCCACAGTCTGGCACCTGAGTCGGCCGCCTCAGTTCGCCTCATGGTAAGGCCAGCCCTGACAACAGGGCTCTGATCCTGATTGCGGCTCACAGGCCTACCTCAATATAAATAATAAAGAGTAATAACCGTGGTCAAGGGTATCACTATATCAGGCTGCAGGATACAATGATGCACTTGTGCCGGATGCTGTATAAACACACAGGAAAACATAGTTCGTGCCCCAGAGAGTTGACAGTCAAACTAATGCATGCTCTCTATTGACTCTTGACTATCTTTGTGTTTTTGTAGGGGCACTGGGCATATCTTGGATGAAATATTATTGCCAGTATGAGAAGGAATCAAAGATGCTAAGGATGACTCCCATGGAGCAGAAGCCTGGAGCTAAGCAAGTGAGTTGATTCCTTATAGGAGACATCTCTGCAAACATTGACAGTCAGCAGGTTCTGCCTCATTTCCTTCTATTCTGACATGTTTCTTCTGTGAGGAAGTACAAGTATAAATATCTATATAGCAGGTACATTCCATCCCGGTTGTATGAAGCAGTGATGTACACAATTCCAGTTCATAAAAAGTATCGGTCGTTAATTTAAGTACTGGATTGACACCTCTGGAGATGGAAGGCCTCTTTGTAGTCCCAGAACAGATATATCATGGACATACAAGGAAAGCTTTCCCCAGCCACACACACACAATTCCTTGAGCACTGCTGATCTGCAGGAAGCACCCCTGCTAGGGAAAAGTAGTTCACTTTCCATGGCCTGGATTAGACATGGCTCCTCTGCTGAGATCATCATTGGGCAGTGTGTGCGTCATATCTAGAATTCCTCAGGCTCTGCGGCACAGGCTGGCTTGCATGTTTTCTCTGGCAAACCAGTTGTGAACACATGGCACTTTCTTTTGAAGAGACAACCTGACTTGCACTGATGCCTCTGACGATTGTTTACAGTACTTGAATTAGCAAGGTTATTTGAATGGCTCCATAATGCCCCCCTCTCTGTCTGCTCCAGTTAAAGGACCCTTTGGTTCAGGGTTATGGATTCCTCTCTTCAGGAATTAGTTGCTAAGTAAATTGAAGAGGTACAGTGATTGGGAGCAGTCAGAAGTTGGGGTTTAGCATCTTTACACCATGTTATAAAACAACAATTTGGGGATCTTTTTTCATCCTTCTCACAGATTTTTCAGTAGGTGCTTCAGCTGCTGTCTGTCAGCCTTCTACTGTTGCTCACTGTGAAATAGAGGGTGTAGGATGCAAGGCTGGATAGACAATGGCTGGTCAAAATGCAGCCAATGAGTCCAAGAAAATCTATGGAATTCTTCTGCAATACAGCTCCTATCCATCCTCATCTTTGCATGGGGTTGCAGCCCATGGAGACTTCAAATCATAGCATGAAATCTCCAATTTAAGACTCCATAATTCCTGCTCTTTGGCAACTGATTGCCTGTTGCAACAATAAAATAAAACCTTTTCTGGAAACCTCTAGGAGAGTGAAGTCATCCAAACACATTGACTAGATGGAACTGTTGACATACCCCACGTAAAAATATGTGGCAAAATAACGTTAAAGCACGAAGAGGCTTGCAATAATACAGTAGGGTGACCATATATCCCGTTTTTAAAGGGGAAGTCCCATTTTTGGGGACTTTTTCTTATATAGGTGCCTATTTCCCCCCCCCATCCCATTTTTTCACAGTTGCTATCTGATCACCCTAATACAGATTAATATCCCTTTCAAACTTGTACAGCCCATTGTGTCAGTAACATGTGTTCTCAGAGATCCCTTGGTAACCCCTGGCATAACAGACCAACACAACTTCAAAGGGAACCATATAGTGAGCACTCTTAAAAAACCACCAAAAGACCAACAGTAGACACATAGCGATAACCAGGGAGAAGGAAAAGGCTGTGGAAGGTTATCAATAGTGCCGATCTCTTTGGTTCTTTTCACTGTTTATTCAGACTGTATAATACAGATGCCAACCATTGATGGAGAATTCATTCCAGGTTTGTGCATCAGTGGCTAGCTTCTCATGGGTTTGCAAAAGCTACTGAAGCTTCACTTCATGGTTTCTGTAAAGTCATAAAGACCCCAGAATGGGGCTATAAATAGGCTGCAATTTGCTTTTGCCAGTTAGTAATTAAAACCTAGGGCCAAGGCCTGCCCCCTACAACACAACTGATTTCAACAGGGTTGCACTGTTGTAAATGAAGGTGAAATTTGCCCATGAAGTTTTATTCGCTTAAATTGTTTTTAAAGGTGCTTCAAAAAGCTATCTGGGCCATTATTGCTGTTGTTAGTAATTTGATAATTTGTAATGGTAGCACCCATGGTAGCACCCAATCAGGTGATGAAGAAGAGCCCTGTGTTTGTCTCTCTCACCAACAGAAGTTGGTCCAATAGAAGATATTACCTCATCCACCTTGTCTCTCTACTATCCTGGGACCAACATGGCTACAGCAGTCCTCCTCTAAAAGTGTCTGTTTTAAGCAACCTTTCTGTCACAAGGCATATTGAAAGAATAGTTGCTAGGATTTTTAGCACCAATTCACACTGTAATCCCATGAGCCCCATAATTAATTGATATTGTATGAAGGAAGCCTGTTTTAGGAAGCTGTTGATCTCTATCTTGGTTGGTGATTTGTGGAATGTTGAGAGAGACCATCTGCTATCATGTTACAAGTGCTGTCTGATTAGCAAGGCTCACTTTGGGATTACACAGTCACCCCTGATGTTTCAACAGACCGTGTGGCATTGCTTTCCATCCAAGGAACCCGAGAAGTCTGACCCCTATTATATGCATTTTTAAAATCTTGGCTTTAAATGTCTCTCTCTTTCTAGGGCACCTCAGACTTGACACTGAAGTACTGCGTAAGGAGAAAGACTGATTCTATAGACAAGAGGTTTTGTTTTGATATTGAGACGAATGAAAGGTGAGCCAGAGTGACTGCTACTTTCTCTGTTATTGCAGTTTTGAAAATAATTTGCCACTTTCTTGGCGTTTGGTGAGGGTGTGTTTGTTCTGAATATCCTAAAATCTGTTTTGTATGGGCAGGAAGATTATGCACCAGGGGGCAGTGCTGTCCTTCCTTGCTACAGGTTTCAGAGTAGCAGCCGTGTTAGTCTGTATCCGCAAAAAGAGCAGGAGTGATGTTAGTCTATAAGGTGCCACAAGTACTCCTGTTCTTCTTCCTTGCTACAATCTTCATGCCTGATCTGAAGTCCACTGAAATCAATGGACATCTTTCTGTTAAATTCAGTGGGCTTTTTATGGGGCCTTCTAATAGGGTGAAAGGATGAGCACCTTCTCTGAGAACTTGAGGACCCTGAATTCCCATTGTCTTCAACCAGCATCAGGTCCTCGTATTTTTCCATGTATCTTTCCCCCCCAATATATATATTGCCAGTCATACAGCTGGAGATTCTCTCCATGGGTTATTTTTCACTTTACTCACTGGGCGTCTGATCCTGTTCCCACTGAACACTCTGGGAGTGCTAATTCGTTTCCATGGGAGCAGAATCAGGCCATAGACGAATGAATGCTGGGATTTCACACATGTGCTGTGGAAGCCTTGGTATGTACTTAAGCCACAACAAAGGAGAAAACGCTAAACTGCAGATTACTTTATCAGATCCTATTTTAGCAGGGAAGGACATCCTGCTCAAAAATATAAAACAAAAGGCAAACATTTGTCACTCTTTCAGCCTTGGACATTCCCACTTAATTCCAAAATTCAGATTTATTTCTCCCTTTCCTAAATCAATTCTCTTGTGCCTGCACTAATGTTGAGTGTTATTAATTTAGGCATTTGGAGCAGCAGACTGCAAATTATCTTGAACTTTGAAAATAAGTGACATGAGTAGGGTGAGACTGACTCAAGTAAATTTCAGGGATTGTGAGTTTCTGAGGTTGTGGCAAGCCTGGTGTTTCCGTAGTTTGTGCATATTGGAAAAATGTGGGGTGTAATACTATGCAGTGTTTTGAAATGTATAGCAATGTGCCAAGCCTTTCAGTCCTTACTCGGTATGGCAGGGCATCTTGCCTGCATAAAGGTGGAAGAAGACTGAAGGAGTTTAGCCCACTAATAATAATACATAGTTTGATTTAATGACAGTGCCGGGGTTAACATAGAGACATACTTAGTGACTGTGTCATATCCTCAGCAGTTTGTAGCAGCCACGCTTCTTGAACCTCTGGCCAGTTCCTTACCACGGTGATGAGAGAGATGTTGGGGAGGTCTCCCCCAGCACAGGACACTGAGCCAGCACCGTATGTTAATGGATAGACTGTACAGTACAATGCTGTGTTTGACAGTATAGCGTGACATGAAATAAAGTTGCACACTCAGATTTTTCTTAGGAACCTGTTTCCTGATATATCAGCTAACATCTCACCATGTTAGAATCATTTGTCTTCTGCCTAAGAAATCTACAAATAAGATGGCAATTAGATACGAACACATGGACCAAAATCTACCCTCCGTTACACTGACTCCAGTGAGCTACTAGGGTGTAGCTGGGCAGAATTTGACCCACTGTGTCATGCACCAGAGTCTTTTACCATTTGGTTCACTGGATTTTTCTCTTGGGTGAACTCTGCACAGGGACCTCTGTATCCATAGCATGTTCAGTCATACTAACAGTGCCAGAGGTCCCCAGTACCTATTTCTCCCCTGCCCATTTAACTTGTGTCTTTTTCTGCATTATGGTACTAATGAGTGGTGAATAAGGACATAGGAGTTTCTCACCTGAAGCTGAGAGGGATCTCTCTAAAGTGCTTGGAGAAAGGGAGAGGAACAGTTAACATGACTCAGACAAATAATTTTTCAAAAACCACATGACTTTGTAGTGTTAACAATTGAAAAGACATCAGAAAATGTGCTAGGCTAGTAGCTATGAAAACCAGATGGGAGAGAGTATGTCTGGACCCCTTAGGAAACATGATTCAGTCACTGCAGATAAATGTACAAAGACATAGTGTGAATTAGATGATTTAGGGACCTGTTTTGCCAATGTGATCAGTATGTGTATAACTTCCATTTTTTATGATAGACATAAGCTTTAGAAATACTATACATAAATAGATAATTGGAATGATGCGTGTGTACTGCCTTCCTTATAGTGCCACCTGCACTCACTCTTGCTGAGTCTTTAAATGGTCTCCAGAAACATAAAACTCTGTAAATTTTGGATGAAATTCCTTTGTGTCCTTAAAAAAATCCTTTACTTTAATTCTCTGGACAGGGCCGGGACTATCACATTGCAAGCACTTTCAGAAGCTAATAGACGGCTATGGATGGAGGCCATGGATGGAAAGGAGCCAGTGAGTATTCAAAGAATTGTTGTCTGATTTATAGATGTGCTTTTTAGCAGTGTCCTTTAGTGGTGTAATTTCACACAGATGAAGAGTGTATTGATAGGTCGGTTTTGGAGAGCTCACCTTTTCGGGTGTTCTCATGAGATTGGGTATGTAATGATCAACACCACTATTATTGTGTGGTCCATAACAGAGGTATCAGTTTAGCAAGTAGGTATGTACAAATAGATTTCAGAGGGTCATTCCAGGGACTGTTACCATATTGCCCTGTCCACTTGTATCCTTTGATATTTGATGTTTCAGTTCTGCTGTTTATATTGGCATCAGTTGGACCCCATAAAAATGTGACTTGCAGGCATGGGGAACTAGAGCTGAGTCTTCCAGTATTTCTGTTGCTCAAACAAATAGCTTTCAGGTCTGTATGAAGTAATTTTGGTTTTGCCTGCATAATATACCTGCTTGTAAGTCTCTTGGCTGAAGTTGTGGCAAGTGTGTGTGTGTGAGAGAGAGAGACACACACACACACCAGAGATTTTCTTATACTTTCTGTGTTCCTTCATTGATTTCCTTTCTTTAATCCAAGCCCAGCATAAACGTTTCTGTTAGACAGAATTGCCTGTAAACAAAGAATGCTATGTGCAATATAGCAAAATACATTTCTTGCCATTTCTCCATGCCCATTGACTGCTCCTTTTCCCTAAGCAGCCTGGAGTTATCCAATATCTCTGTAAAAAGACTGGCACCTAACTCTGTGCTCAGAGACCTGGTGTTGGACAGAGTAACTCAGAGCTGTATTGATGGGGCTGATTGTGCGGAGATTGGAGCATATCAGATGGGCTGCTAGGTGCCCCTTACAGAACCTGCTCACTGCTGTAAAGAAGTGATGCATGTGGGCGTTTAATGTGAAATGCCTGTAATGGCATTTGTCTGGATCCCACACACTGAATTGCATAGGCTGTGGAAATACGTAACCAAAAGAATGACAAACTAGCAGTAATAATTAGAACTTTGTCCTGGCAAATTCAGGAGCCTCTCTGGTTATATCAAGGGCTTTGTTAAAAAATAATCCAGAGTCCCAGACCTGCACTGTTCTAAATGCCCATTGCCTCTTTCCATCCTTCTGAAAAAAATGGCTAGTCTTATTGTTAAAGCACCAGACTGGAAGTCGAAAGAAAGTGGTTCTTCCTGACTCTGCCATTAACTGTTTGGGCAAATCATTTTACTTCTTTGTGCTTCTGTTTTTCATCTCTGAACTATGGGATGATACCACCCTATTTGCCCCCCAGCAAGGTTGTGAGGCCTAATTCTATAGGTGGTTGAATAATTAATTGTTCTTTAATTATCCTCTGAATTTATACATTTTTCTGGATCATATATCACTCATGAACCAATCTCAATTTTTGTGAATTTAGTTGTTATTCCCAAAATAATTCATATGAACAAGTTTTAATCTACACAATTGTTTATTTGCAAACTATTCTTATCAACTGTTTGTGCTGTGTGGTTGATCACCTATGTCACATGATATTGGTCTATCACATCAATGGTTCTCATCCTTTCCAGACTACTGTACCCCTTTCAGGAGTCCGATTTGTCTTGCGCACCCCAAATTTCACCTCACTTAAAAACTACTTGCTCACACAATCAGACATAAAAATACAAAAGTGTCACAGCACACTATTACTGAAAAATTGCTCACTTTCTCATTTGTACTATACAATTATAAAATAAATAAATTGGAATATAAACATTGTACTTACATTTCAGTGTACAGTATATAGAGCAGTATGAACAAGTTATTGTCTGTATGAAATTTTAGTACTGATTTCGCTCATGCTTTTTATGTAGCCTGTTGTAAAACTAGGCAAATATCTAGATGAGTTGATGTATCCCCTGAGAGATCTCTGCGTACCCCAGGATATGCATAGCCCTGGTTGAGAACCACTGTACTACATGATGGGCTGACTGAAATTTTCTGAAATAGGAGAATAACAAATAATAAGTAATGTGAAACAGGTAGTAAGCAGCAAAAGCTTGTGTTTCCTGTGTGAATACGGGTGTGTGATTGTGTGCACACACCTCTCGTGAGCACCCCCTGTCAGATTGGTGTGAATCTGCACGCTCTCTTTGCGTGGTGCCCCGTCGGCTGTTGCCCTTATCAGGCAGGTCTTCAGTGTCTCAGCCCTCCAGTCAAGGCTCATGCTGTCAACCTGTGAACAAACAAACCCCTTCCGGGGCAAAAGGTCCAAGAGGGCCTGTCCCTGTGCCTTTGACAATCTCTTTAGCCCTGTCTCTGGGCTCAGTCCTCAACCCCTTCTGGGCTAGGTTTTAAGTCCCTGGCTGCTTTGGTCTAGAGTAGAGCCCCCAGGGCTTTCTCCCTGGAGACTCTTTAAGTCCTGCCCTTCACTTGGTCCTCTAAACAAGTCTTATCCCCTCCTTGGGGCTTAGGCCACTCTGCCAGTGGGGGGACCCAGGCCAACCCATTACTTCAAATCCCGCCCAGGGTCCCTATAAATAGCAGCCACATGCTGCTTCCTGTAATAGTTGCTGCTGCCTTTTTCTGGGCCACTTCCCATGTAGCCCCTTCCTCTTTACCCTTACCTCAGGGCTGAAGTTCTTCCTCATGGAATATCAGTGTCAACAGAACCCATTTTCTGGGTCTCCCTTGAACTCCAGCAAAGAACACCCTCCTTGCTCCTCTGGTCCCCACCAGGAACCGATCTGCTTAGGCCCTGCAGCTCCTTTTATCTGAGCCTGTTGAGCTCTGATTGGCTGCTTCCCTGCAGCCTTTTTAGGCAGCCCTGCAGGACCCACCCTTACTGCCCCTTTTCTGGGGTGGGGTATGGTAGGACTACGAGGCCTCAAAGGGCCCCGTACACCTAGTCACAGGGTGTCCATGTGAAGAATAGCGATTCCTTTACCCTTCCTGTGGACAAAGAGAAAGCAATTTGTGTGAATACATGCAAATATTGAATAATAAGGAGTATGACCTTGGTCATACTGGACAGCTGTTCAGAATTCAAGCAATGTCCAGTATTCAACCACTGCAGTGTAATTTGTTATTGTACATAAGGGGGTTTTGATCTTCTGTGAGGGAAGGTGCTACAGAAGTGCATGGTATTGTTATTAAAGTATATACATCATGTGATTACTATAATGGTGAAGAAAGCAATTTATTGATATTCTGTGTAAATATAGTTGTGCCTAGCTGCATAGCTTCCAGACCTAATTTTTACCAAGCGACAAACAAAGGATCTTTGTGTTTAGTGTAGGAGGGTGTGTCCAAGAGAAACAGGTACCCCAGTGAAACTAATGGATGCCTACTACACCTTTCTTGAATATAGGGTTGTATATTGTTTAGTACTTTGTTTTTGAGAGCAAAGTATTAAACAATACTATATGTCTGTGACTTGCTTTCCCTGGTGTGTGTTTTCCCTGGCTGTATCCTCCTTGGACAGTAATTCTCAACTCGTGCCTGGTTTTGCTTTTGTTTCTCTCTCTTCTTTAGATCTACCACAGTCCCATCACAAAACAGGAAGAAAGTGAGTAATTCATGGTTCTGTTCTTCTGAAATATTAAAGATCTGATTTGTATTGTTGTTGTATAATATATTCGTTTGCAAGTGTGCACATCACTGCTGTATGCTGGATGGACTGTATCTCACACCTGCTCACGTGCTCCTTGGTTCCCTCCACTTAGTGAACAAGTGGACCAAAGATCTCTTGGGTCTGCTCTGGTGAGTTGATGAGTATCCTCAGGTCTCAGTGAGAGTTGAGGGTGATCAACACCGTGCAAGATAAGGCCCTTAGCTCCCAAAGTAGAGGAGGAATTTGCACTAAATTTCAACCCACCTAATAAAATGCAGGTTCCAAATTTAGAATGGAGTTCTGAATCTTTGAGGTTCAAGTTCTAGTTGGCTCTCACCGAAACTTGAGTTCTGGGCTGCTGTGCGACTTCTTTGATTTTATCCCCTTAGTTGCAATTGAAGTCAGACAAGAATGTCTTTCAAACAAGAATATTTGTTTGCAAAGCACAGGCATCCATTTAGTGAAAACTACACGGCATTAACATTAAATTTCTGCTTAAAATATGGTTTCAGTTAACTGGAGAAAAGAGTTCCATGAAAAAGTGTCATAAATGTAAAACAAGAGAATAAAAAGTTTTAGGGGTTTCTTGAAACTCCACACCCCATTAGGTTCTCCCATCTCTCCTTATCAGAGCTAGGTTGTGAGCGCTGTCTCTGATGCTGCACGTTTAATAACTTGAATCTGCACGTGCCCACGGCTCAAGACAGCTGTCTCTATCTTGCTAAAATGTTATCCCTCTTACCTTTCCCCCCTTCATTTCATATTCACTTAGTCAGTAATGTCAAGTCCTTACAACCATACTGCCTCCAATATCTCAGAACATTGGACTGGAAAACTGTGTGGATTTATTACTCAGGTACCCTCCATGAGTACTGAAAAATCTGCATTCTGCCTCTGGGGGCTGACTTGACCAGTCAGTTACTCAGAGCTGGGGAGCACTTTCTTAAACTGCTTTATCTTAATTAGTGTGCAGTTAGGATTGAAGAATCTCCTTCATACATACACCTCAAACCAATCAGTTATCATTGGGCAATGCTGAGGCACATTCCTTCTAGGTCTGTAATACAAATGCAGTCAGATAAACCCTATGTTTTAATAATTTGGAATCAGGGATATTATCAATTTATACTACACAGCTCACTGCAATCTAGGCACTGAATCGCTGCTAACATTTGTTTTGACCCTACCTGGAAGCTGGTGTATCTGAAGTTTCCAGTAAGAATGCTCTGAGCAGGGAGGTTCCTTATGACTGACCTGCTGGCAGGCATGGGGTGTCTGCAGTTAATTGATTCACCCAAGTTCTCCCTAGAGAGTTTGTGCCAGGATTAGAGCTGATTCCAATTTTGGGTGTGGAAGTTTTTCCCAGAGAACAATACAAATTTGTCAAAACCAATTTTCTTCACATCAAAATGTCGCTTCTCAGGAAATATTTTGGTTTTCCTGCATGAACATTTTGAAACAAGAGTATTCATTTTGACTTCAGATGTTCGCTTTTGAAAATGAAAAAACATTTTAAGTTGAAATAAAATTTTTTGTTTCATTTCTAAGTGTTGAGTCAAAACCAAAATTTGTAGTTGGAATTTGGTTCAAAAACGCCTGCAGCTTTAAAAATAATTGAATGCAGATTTTATTTTTATTATTATTTCTTGCCAGAAAAGCTTGGTTTCCTGAGTAGCTCTAACCATTCCTCAGAGCTTCTGATCTGCTTCTGATCTGAAGGGTGATATGCAGAGCCCCATTCCTCTACCTAATAAAAGCACAGTAAACACTAACATTTGAGAGAAGTTCAAAATATCTGTTTGCCACAGACCGAAAGCTATTTCAGTGTAAGAAGCCATTGATCACTCACATAAACACGTATGCGGCCTTATCCTGTGACCCTTAATTACACAAGTAATCCTACTGAAGTCAATGGAAGAATTCGTGAGTAAAGTTGCAGGACTAGGTCCTGTAAGGAAATAAGGGCCCTGATTCAGTGCCCACTGAAGTAAATGGAAAGAGTCTGGTTCACTTCAATGGGGTTTGGATTAGCCCAAAGCAAACTAGTTTTCCACCTGTCTGCTGTTTAGAAGCCACCAAGGAAAACCCTGTGATATCCTATTGGTTAATCAGTGGGGAGAAAAACCTGCCTTCTCCTTAACCTATATAGTATCTAAGTAGAATCCTGTCATTTTCTGCAATCTAACAAAGTAGATAAAGAATACGTGGAAGTTTATGTGTTTCTTTGATGTGACAGAGGTTGGACTGCAGATTTTGCTGTACTCCAGAAGCCACAGATCAGCTCTTGCCAGGCAGAAATGCATGTGTGGTTGAACTCTCCAAATTACAGTTTTATTAAAAAATTCAAAAGCCGACTGTTAAAGCAATTTCAAGAGGGGAAAAAAGGAGAACAAGTTGAGATGAACAATTTCTGACCAGATTCTTAAAAATTTGGGTGTGCTTTTGCACAAGCACCCTCACAATGTATACATGCAAATCCCTGAATGTATGTGCACCAGGTAGGCTACATGCATGCACAGACCCTGACTTGCACCCACACAGCAAGGTGTTTACATACTAAATTGTGCCTGAGCACTTATTTGTGTGTGGATTTGAAAATGCAGCCCCCAAAAATGTAGCAAACTTGTTGCAAGGTGTAATGCCTGCAGTAACTTGACACCTCTTTGGGTTTTCCACCAGTAATTGCATGTTGACATTCTGGCACCTAACTTTGCTTCCCTTTGTTTGAAATAGTGGAGTTGAATGAGGTTGGCTTCAAGTTTGTAAGGAAATGCATCAATGCAGTAGAGACCAAAGGTAAGATCTCAGTACTGCATCTGGAAACTGTTTGCTCTTTTGGTATTTGCTTTCTTGAATGGCATTTGATTATGCTGTGATTTCGCTAATATATAGCGAACGGGATCTAAAAATCACAGAATCACAGAAATGTAGGGCTGGAAGAGACCTTGAGAAGTCAACAAGGTTAGTCCCCTTTGCTGAGGCAGGACCATCCGTGACAGATGTTTGTCCAATCTGTTCTTACAAACCTCCAGTGAATGGGATTCCACAACCCCCTTTTGGAAGTCTATTCCAGAGCTTAACTACTCTTACAGTTAGAAAGTTTTTTCCTAATATCCAATCTAAATCTCTCTTGCTGCAGATTAAGCCCATTACTTCTTGTCCTACCTTGGATAGATATGGAGAACAATTGATCACAGTCCTTTTTGTAACAGCCCTTAACATACTTGAAAACTGTTATCAAGTTCCTCCTCAGTCTTCTTTTCTCAAGACTAAACATGCCTAGTTTTTTAACCCTTCCTCATAGGTCATATTTTCTAAACCTTTTATCAGAGACTCACGTCACAGGATAAAGAATGTGCCTACAAAACAATAGAAACCTTACACCCCATTAGAACATTTGCAGGAGCAAACTCTAGTCAAGGTTGAGTTCTCACTTTCATTTTGTTTTCACTCATTTGTGAATTTCTCAGAAATTTTCCTTTGGGGCTGAAATATCACATGCTTGGTAGCAAGCCAAAGGTGAATAGGTTACAAAATATTTCAGGCAATTTTGAGTTTGGGGACTATCTTAAAGAATTATTCAGATTTGTTTTGTGAAAAACATACTATGTGGAGTGAGATTTTCAAAGCATTCTGCAGGATTTTAACCGCACAACTCCCTCTACAATGAATGAGAGTTGTGATAGATCTTCCACGCTGCTCTGAAAATTCCAGCCATGCTAAATAACCACCAACTTCCTTAAAAACGTAAGTAGAGCTGTGCAAATAATGTAAACACATTTCCAAATATTAGTCCAGACTTTAAAAGAATTTTCTTTGACTGTAGTCACTTTCTGTGACTTTTCTAGCAAACTAGTTTACTGATAAAAAAATGTTGAGAGGTAAATAGCAGGGTCCCGATGCTGTTCAACATACTCATAAATATCTGGAAAAAGGGGTAAGCAATGAGGTGGCAAAGTTTGCAGATGATACAAAACTACTCAAGATAGTTAAGTCCAAAGCTGACTGCAAAGAGTTCCAAAAGGATCTCACAAAACTGAGTGACTGGGCAACAAAATGGCAGATGAAATTCATTGTTGATGAATGCAAAGTAATGCACATTGGAAAACATAATCCCAACTATACATACAAAATTATTGAGTCTAATTTATCTGTTGCCACTCATGAAAGAGATCTTGGAGTCCTCATGGGTAGTTCTCTGAAAACATCTGCTCAATGTGCAGCAGCAGTCGACAAAGCTAGCAATGTTAGAACGATTAGAAAAGGGATAGATAATATGGCAGATAATATCATAGTGCCGCTGTATAAATCTGTGATATTCCCACACCTTGAATACTGTGTGCAGTTCTGGTCACCCCATCTCAAAAAAGATATATTAGAATTGGCAAAATCACAGAGAAGGGCCACAAAAATGATTAGGAACCGCTTCATATGAGGAGAGATTAAAAAGAGTGGGATTGTTAAATTTAGGAAAGAGATGGGAAGAATATGACAGAGCTCTATAATCATGAGTGGTGTGGAGAAAGTGAATAAGGAGGTGTTATTTATACCTTCACATAACACGAGAACCAAAGGTCACCCAATGAAATTAATAGGCAGCAGGTTAAAAACAAATGTAAGGAAGTACTACTTTACACAACACACAGTCAACTTGTGGAGCTCCTTGCCAGGGGATGTGAACACCAAAAGCATAACTAAGTTAAAGAAAAAGAATTAGATAAAGTCATGGAGGATAGATCCATCAGTGACTGTTAGCCAAGATGGTCAGGGTTGCAAGCCTATGCTTTGGTTGTCCCTAAACCTCTGGCTGCCAGAAACTTGGACTGGACAACAGGGGATGGATCATTCAATAAATTGCCCTGTTCTGTTCATTAACCTCTGAAACATCTGGCACCAGCCACTGTCAGAAGACAGGATACTGGCTAAATGGACTTTTGGTCTGACCCAATATGGCCATTCTTATGTTCTTAATGTTTCCAGAAATAGCAGATTTTAAGCAAATATTGCAGAATTTTCCAAAAGAGAATTTCAGATTTGTGATTGAGAGTAATCATCCCTGAAATCTAATTCTCACAGTGGCACTGATCTAGTCAAAGAACAGAAATATACTTTTTGTGTCCAGTCAGAACAGCTCCCATTTAGAATACTGAATATTTTCAACCAATTGTTCAGTTATTAGCTACTGAACAAGAACTGTGTGCAGAAGTTATTTGGCGAATCATTTTGCCTAACAAAGTCCAGGTTAACATGAGGTATTCATGGGCAATTTTTAAAAAATGATTTCTTCTTCATTATTCACTCGGCTCTTCACCAAAGTGCTGTCAATCTATTGCAGGCCTCGGGACAGCCTGTGATGTTTTTACTACACTAGGTGGCGCTGTTTAACATCTACAACTCTGAAAGGACACTCAATTCTTTTCTTCATTCTTCTGCGCAGGGATCACTACTGAGGGAGTATACCGAACCGTTGGCAGTAATATCCAGGTGCAGAAGTTGCTGAATGCCTTCTTTGGTAAGAATAACCAGTTCTTGGATGACTGGACTGTAATTTTTTTGTACTGTAAGGCAAGACAAGGAGGACTGGATTCCACAGTGAAATGCTGTCATGTATAGCATCCCCTCTGCTCTTGCCCTTCTTTCCAGGCTGCTGGTCTTCTCCACCAGTCTTTCTGATATGTTCTTTCCCTTCTTTTCTGAATTTCTTCTCCAACCTAGTCTCTCGTTACTCCCCTTAAGCTAAAATGTTGCCAATTTTACCTGCATTTTCAAACTAAGAAGCAAAGGGTATTGAGATAACAGTAACGTGGAAGTGGAGTCCTGTAGAGTGCAAATAGATCCCAAAACAGAGAGACCATTGCTAATTGCCAAACAGACTCTCTTCCCCATAGATGATAGGTCCTGATTCTCATTTACATGAAGGTCCCTTTACTCCTCTCTGGCAGTGTAAATGGGCCTTAGAGGAAATGAGAATTAGATCAAAGGGCTGAGTCTCCCCCTGTTTACATCAGTTTTATACATCCACTAACCATTGTTAGCACAAACAAAATAACTGCCCCTCCCACAGAACGCCACCCCAAATCATCCTCCACATCCTCGGACAAATCTGAGTAAACAGAGAATCCTTGCAGCTTGCCTTGAAAGTCAACAACACGGGGCTGTGTTCGGCTGGAAATGGGGAATGCACTCCAGAGTCAAGGGCTCTGCTCTGGGAATGTCCTGGTTCCTGACCCTGATGTACAAACTGGTGGACAGTCAGTTCAAGCATTGTAGGACAGATGTGGAGCTAAGATAGCCAAGATCCAAACCATTCTGGATGGCTTGTCTGGCGGGAAAGACTGGAACACAGGACAAGGGGAGTGTTCCTGGTGAATATCCACCTGACCAGCATGTAAGCCTCTGACTGCTGCCCCGTGAGTAGGTACCTAGAATAAATGCACTATTCAAAGGCTGGTATTATTTTTATTGTTGTTACTATTTATTTTTATTAAAACAATGGACTGTTTGTTATATCCTCACCTGGTCATACTGGATTTCCATACTGGATTTCCTGGAACATCAGATACATCTAGTCACACTTTCCTGATAATTTATGAGGTAGGATGAAGCTTTTAAATATCTCATGTTTTCCAGCATCCCAATAAATAGTTCCATGCTTTTCCATTCCAAACTCTGGTGGTGGTTTCTCATTTGTAAATTTACGTTGGTTTGATTGACCACTTTGTTCTCAATCCTTGTACAGAAAATCCTCATTTTGGTCAGAGTGGAAAATCCAGCAGCAATAAATAATAATAACTAAGAGTGGTGAGCCATTTGAATTTCTCACCCAGCCCTGTTTCTTGTTTAACATAAGTCATGTAACTCGTATCTCCTACCCTGCCTTCCCCAAAACCAAATCCCTAATCTTATGGTGCCAGAAAAGTGTTGTGGGCGTCCAGTTAACCTGGACATGAGCAAAGTGTACTTTAGTCCTTTCTGCTCTTCATTACCCTCCATGTTTCTGCCTACATGTAGATTCTATGCAGAGGAATTTTTCAGGGAAGCCCAAAGGGGAAGTAACTAGAAGTAATGGGGTGAAACTGAGCAAATGAAATTTTAAGTGGAACATGAGGAAATTTATCCTAACACTGAGGTTTGGTAGAATGTTTAGTTTTAAAGGACTTAAGCAATGGGGCTTCCACCACTTCCCTTTAGAGCAATGGTGGGCAACCTGTGGCCTGTGCCAGGCCCGCGCTGCTTCCCAGAGCTCCCATTGGCTGGGAACAGCGAACCATGGCCACTGGGAGCTGCAGGTAGCCATGCAAATGTAAACAAGTGGTCTGGCGGCCTGCCAGCGGATTACCCTGGCGGGCCACAGGTTGCCCACCTCTGCTTTAAAGAATAGACCACAAAGCTGTGGAGAACACACAGTAGAGAATAATCCTTCATTGGCTGGGGGAATGGACCTAGGATGCAATAATTAAGGCTTTTTCATCTTTGATCTTGGAGACTCCTAGTAGAAGTGATTATCTTTGTTAGTTGCATGATCGTTTTGACCATTCTAACACCACATTCTTATCCTTCCTCCTCCTCCCCCTCTAATTTTAAGTATACCATCCTCCTGCTCAACTCAAGAAACGAGATAACTAAGGTGTGTTAGCTATCCCATTGTAGTTTTACAAGGGTAAATAAAAATCAATGATTTAAAAAAAATAAAAAAAATCTGATTTTTTAAAATTTAAATTAGATTTTTTTATTTAAATCAGATTTATTTGATAAAATGGTTTTTGAGGAAAAAAACTATCTAAAGGTAGTTTTAATTAAGATACATTATAGCTCAAAGATATCTCATCATGGAATAGGGATTATAAATTCTAATTCTAAAGTATAAGACAATATATTTAGGTAATGTTTAAGAAAAGTTTTGTAAATTAGTTCCAATAGTTCATGGATTAGGGATCCAATTTTATGAGGTTCCAGGGGCTTCTGTATAGATTATTTAGGTTAATCTTTCTGTCAACCCAATAGGACTCAGTGCTCAGTCTAGAAGATACCATCAGAGATGCTTAGTTTTGCAGTTCTCAAACTGGATTTGTATCTCCAGAGATAACATGCTTGTTAACAGCAAAAATGTTTTTAAATAAATAAATAATATATAGAGGTGAGAAATAACAGACCTCAACCCTATTGTCCCTCTGCAAATTTGTTTACACTGTCAATACCTTACCTCTCTCTAAAAGTACAAAATTACAAAAAGTGCAATAGAAGGTTGTTGGGGGCAGAATAGATCTGGACAAAGAGAAGAAGTCTGAACAAAAGTGGAACTGTTTGAGCAGCATATTCCAAAAGTCTTGAGGTCTTTCTGAGTGTAGCCTTCATTGATTTGAGATCTACCATACCATTCTCTCGCTAGAAGGGAAAACCTATAATGGCAGCAGGCCATAAAAGAGACCCAGTTTGGGAACATTTTAATGAAGTTCCTCTACCCGTGGGTAAGACAGGCATGCGTGCAAAATGCAAACAGTGCAACCAAGAAATGCAAGGCCTGGTTGCCCGAGTGAAACAACATCATGAGAAGTGTTCCTTCTCAGGAGGAAGCTGCGTTTAAGATGATGAAAGGAACATGTCTGAACCTGCAGCATCTTCAGGTTGGTAAACTTTTTTATTTCATACTTCTTTCTTAAGGACTTCCTGTCTTCCTTCTGGACTATTCTTGAATTCTCATGTTTGAGCAAAATATATAGATGTTACTCTATGGTACTATCATTTTAGATGCAATTGTGATAAAAAATAAATAGCTAAAATAGGCAGATCTTCCTTTTACAATTTCACCTTTGAAGTAGTATTGAATGTCAGTGAATGCAATGAGTAATACTAAATGAGCAGTACGGTAATAATAATTAAATAACTGCATTGACTTACTTTGTTTAGGAGACTCCATCCTCAACATACAGGATTCTGAAGACTATCCACCTTCAAGATCACCATCATTTTCTATAGTTTCAGAGTTATCTGCCAATGATAATGTTTCAGTCACATCATGTATGTCATGTAGCCACAGAATATCACCTGTAGCAAAAAGAAAAAAAAATCTCCATCATCCAGAAACAACCATAGATAAGTTTGTGATAAGAACCAGCAGATTACAAAAAGAGGTAATCGAAGAAAAAATTTCCCGGTTTGTTTATGCAACAGACTCTCCCTTCCATATGATTGAGAACCCACACTTCATTAACATGGTTCAGTCATTAAGACCAGGATACAGTCTACCCAACAGTGCAGATTTTGCAGGCAAATTGCTGGATCAACTGTCTGAAAGAGAAATTGAGCAGTGTGCAAAAGGTCTAGAGGGTAAAACTGTTAACCTGAGTCTTGATGGGTAGAGCAATGTCCACAATGATCCTGTTGTATGTGCTTGTGTGACAACAGAAGAAGGGAATGTCTTTCTTACAGAAACAACTGATACATCAGGAAATGCACACACAGCAGAATACTTACAAGAAGTAGCAGTAAAAGCTATAACAAACTATGGGGAAAAAATTCAAATGTCTAGTATGCAGCTTGGTCACAGACAATGCTGCAAATGTATTCAAGATGAGAAGAAATTATTTAGAAGAGAGTGAAGAGAGTCCCAAGCTAACAACATACAGTTGCAGTGCTCATTTGATGCACCTCCTAGCCAAAGACTTCAGTGTTCCAGAAATAAAGGCTAATGTTGTTGAAATTGCAAAATACTTCCCTAACAACCACTTTGCAGCAACTGCTCTGAAAAAAGTGGGAGGAACTAAGCTAACTCTCCCACAAGACGTGAGATGGAACTCGGTAGTGGACTTTTGAGTAGTTTTGAGCACTAGATCAAGAACTGGCCTAATCTGATGACAGTTTGTGAACAAAATTGTGAAAAAATAGATGGCACGGTCACAGCCAAAGTTCTCAACACGGGGCTTAAGAGAAATGTTGAACACATGCTGAGTACCCTGAAGCCTATATCTGTAGCCTTAAACAAAATGTAGGGGAATAGCTGTTTTATTGCTGACGCTGTTGAAATTTGGAAGGAACTGAGTGAGATCTTAAAAGAGAAATGTGCAATGACAGAGTTAAATTACAAGCATTAAAAAAACGAATGGGACAAGTACTATCTCCAGCTCATTTTCTTGCAAATATTCTCAATATTCGGTACCAGGGTCAAACCTTAACTGCTGAAGAGGAGGAGTTGGCTATGGCATGGACATCCAGCGATCATCCCTCCATAAAGCCAACTACAATATACTTCAGAGCTAAGGGTGAACCACGCAAGAAATATTTGTTTGCTGATGATGTTTTAAAGAAAGTCACACCAGTGAACTGGTGGAAGTCACTTAAGCACTTGGATTCAGACACTGTTGAAGTGAACATCTCACTTTTAATAGCAGGAGCTTCTTCTGCCAGTGAAGAAAGAATATTTTCTTCCTTTGGCCTAATTCATTCCAAACTGAGAAATTGTTTGGGACCTGAAAAAGCAGGAAAGCTTGTTTTTCTTTTCCAGATTATGAACAAACAGGAAAATGAAGGTGAAGACGACTGAGTTAGCTGCAGAAGCCAATATTTTAAATTTCTCATGTTGACCTGGCTGACATAGTCAATTGAATGTCTCTTTGTTTGTTTTTAAAAAATTTAATTTAGCTATTTTAGTTAAAAACAATTTTAACAAAAACAAACCTGATTTTAAAAAACTTGAATGTTTAGCTAAATTCAAAAATTCATATGCTTGTTTTGTTAAAATATTATGTGTTTGCTGTTGAAGAAAGAAATCCAGAATACATAACTTTGTTGTTTTAGTTAATTAAAACAATTTAAATGTCTGTCTGGTGATGTTCTCTTCCTAATACAGCATGGCAAGAAAATCCTCCAAATATTAATGATTAACCTGTTGAATTGGAGATAGTTCACCTCCCAATGACTTCATAAATATCTGCTTCAATTACCTTTGGTAAATGAAATAACCAATCATTCATTTTCTGATATAGCTGTAAAACTGATATGAACAGTTTTCAAAATAAATCACTTTAAAAATGTATAGTGTGTACCTTCTAAAAACAAAACCTACATCTCTCTCTGAGTTGTGAAGAACATGTATTAAGGTTATAACAATCAACAAGAATGCACCTTTATATAGAAATCCATGATTAAATCGAGTCTACCTGACTAGTGATTTAAATCATGATTTAAATCAATTTGATTTAAATCAAATTCACCCTGAATTTTACGACAAGGTAAACGAGATGAGTTCACCATGGGTGGGAGGTACAGGGCTGGGCCATACCTTGCTACGTCTCGGGAAACACTGTCAGTGCTTATCTCCACTTAGGACTCTACGGTGCAATAAACATTGCAAGTTAGCTGTCTCATTGTAAAAACCCAAACAAGCACACCTTTGTGTCAGTGAAGACGAAGCCTCAGTGTTGGCAACTGTCACTATGCTTTACTTGTCCAAGAGGAGTCATCAGTGTCCCTTGCACACTGCTGTATCTTCCTCTGCCACTAGGGCATATCCTGCCAGCATAAATTTTGTTACTCGTTTTAAAAAATCAGGCTTTGTTTGAAAGCTCATTTATTTTGTCGTATTTGCCACTTTTTTTTTCCTCTTCCAGATCCAAAATGTCCAGGGGATGTAGATCTCCAAAACAGCGACTGGGACATCAAGACAATTACCAGCTCATTGAAATTCTACCTCAGGTAACTTCCCCGCTCGTTGTCTTATTTTTGACTCTCCCAGGCAGGGCTGGAACTCTTTGGGCAAAGATGGTGTCTTTTGTTTGAAAAAACGTGTCTGTTGTAAAAACCTCACGTGCACTTATGCAAATAAAAGAAATGAGGATGGAGTGCCAATTGGGCAGCCTCAAGAATCCATGGGAGTTGGAGTGGAAAATATGACTTTCCTCTCCGTTCGTCTTCCAATGTAACTGAGAACAGAGTCGTAGCCACTCCTCTGCTCTTTGAGGAATTCAGAGTTGTTTCTGTTTGTTTCAGGAATCTAGCTGAACCTGTCATGACGTACCGACTCCATAAAGAGCTGGTCTCAGCAGCGAGTAAGTCCCAACAGCTTCACTACTGATAGGCCTCATACCCCCCATCCTGCATAAGAATGGCATTACTCCACTAGCTCAACACAACGCTGAGTATGTTGCACGTGTGGAGTTCCCGATCAAGTGAGACATGTTGTAGCCAGGTTACAGATCCTCGATGACAAGCATCTTGGCCTTGCAGTGTATGGGATCCAACAGGGGCTGCTGTCATGGCAGCCAGCCACATCCATCTGGGACCTGGGTAGGGAGGGAAAATCAGATGATTCACTTGCTGGGATGCTAAGTCATAAGAGAGTCTCTGTGCATCACTGAATGGCATCTTACAGTTCAATCCTGCCATGGGATTTGAGGGTACTCGGCATTTTCAGGATCATGTCCCTGACCCATTTGGGCCATATTCTCAGTGGGAGTAATTGGCAGAGCTTCAATAGATTTACACCAGATGAGGATCTGACCCATTGTACTTATAATAGAGCCTCACTCCTGCTTCCGGTTTCTTAGTTTGTTTGAAGGGATCATTCTAAAAGGATGACTCCATTTCGTCCCCATCGTCCTTTATATTACAGTGTACTTGTGTGTGCCTGGGTTTGGATCCCTTCAGAGACACTTAAGGTGGGGCTTGGAGTAAGGGGATCTTTTAAAATATACATGGGTGTGTCTATATCATATGTATCAAAAGGGAATTGGCCCAGTTGTGCTAGCAGAATTATTTCCTGACAGCTTTATGTTTTTTTAAATTGTAAATAGAGACATACGGTGACAGGCCCCAATCGCCATGCAGTGTCTCAGATGTCCCTCTTTGGCACTGAGTTTTGTCCTGGAATGCTGAACCCATAATACCTTCAAGTATGCGAAATGCATTTTTCTGATGGAGCGGCTAGTGCTAAGTAACAGACCAAACTGACAAAGGTCAGGCAAATAACATGAGTATGTTAACAGGGCAGAATCTGAGCTAAGACTCATTTAAAACCTGGGTCATCTTCAATCCTGGTAAAATGTCTCTTTGCAATTTATCTTTCATAATTTTAAAGTAGCTGCACCCTCATAATTAGATCTAGAGCAGAAGTGCAGAGATAGAGAGCCTGGGTATGCAGTTACTTAAGCAACTTTCTTAATAAAAGAGAGGATGGTGTCTTAAAATGTCTTATATCTGGGGAAAACACATTGGGCTCAAACCTGAGGTGGTGAGCACCTGCAGCTCCATGGAACTGCAGCTTGGCACCTCCTTGGCCCTTGGAAAATTAATAATGTTGCTTCTCGTTCTGCTAAAGAAAAATTCTCCTCCTCCAGATGACTGTGCTCAAACCCAAGAGTTGCTAGATTTTCTATCTTATTATACCAATTATAGCTCAGTAGATGGAAATATTAACCCCCTCCCTTACCCTCCTCAGAAATGTCCATGCAGTTTTCCAACTGTAAAGATCACACTCTGTTCTGTATGCATTGTGTATTTTATTGTTCCAGGCTGGTTTGTGCCTCTTGACTGGATGCTTATTAATCCTGTGCATTTAACCCCCATGTACAGTACTAAGTACCTATGCTAAGAACAGTCTCATCAGAGGGGCCTGAATTGCTCGCTTGGCCCTAGAACTGCTTTTGCTCAATCTGGGCTGAGGTTCCTAGAGTTGGTGTGCGAGGGAAGCGGCTGCTCATGCTGTATTGGTTCTGTTCATGCAGCACATTTCACCAGCACTACATTTCAGTTGAAAAATCCCACTCTGAGCCCCTTTTAAGCTTGATTTCACCTCTTTCCTCATCACTTCATTTCTCATGATGATAACCTTGCTGCTGTGTAATTGCCCTCCTTCCAGGTTGCTCTCATTTGCTCTTGGCAGGCTGGCCCCACACCTCAGGGAATAACACAGATTATTTTTTTAAGCAGTAGGCAAAAACTTCTCTCTTGTTTCTTTCCAGAATCTGAGAACCTAGATTACAGGCTGGGAGCCATTCACTCTCTGGTTTATAAACTACCTGAGAAGAATAGAGAGATGTTGGAACTCCTCATACGACACCTGGTCAAGTAAGCAGAATCCAGTAAATATTCCTGTTAAACCAGAGAGATAAAAAAAAGGAGTCGGAGAAGCCAGCCTGTTTCTCTGGCAAATTAATTAAGCCCTTGACAACTATTGTACAGCTGGGAATATACTGCCCAAATTGTGTGGCTATCCCTGTATTTGATATTCCCCTGTCCACCTGCCACTTACAGTCAATGGCTGCTTTATGAGAAGCACCAAGTTAGAGAATAATTTTTATATGATAATATGGTCTAACAGACCAGAGCTGTAAACCTAGTGTCTGGCCAGCCCAATTAACAACAACATTATGTCTGGAATTTTGGAGCAGTTTTAAGACCCCTGTTCCCTGGGACTGGAGATTAAGCACATACTGAACACACTTCTTGTACTATGGATTCAATGTGCTTTGTCCTTTGAGGAGCATTGGTGCTAGGCACATTAGCCTTCAAGCCCTCCCTAATGTCCAGTTAGGAGCTGATCTTTCTGAGGTGCTGGGCACCTGTTGCTGTTTGACTTCAGCTGGTGCCATGAGCGCTCAGCACCAATAAAAATCTGTCCATTGATGGTGAAGGCACTGGAGTTGCTGTTTTCCTGCCTTCCTTTCACAGTGAATGTGAGGATGCAAGGTGCAGAACCTAGTATCCTCATCTCACATGGGAGTCATATAGAGAGTCACCTCTTGACGGTGCTCATTGTGCCAGCCATGCTGAAGCTCATGGGGAGGGAAAGATGCTGGAGTTCTGCTCACTAACAGACATGGTTTGGGGAGGGACTGGCCTCCAGATTGAAAGGATGTGCTTTGGCCAAATTGGAAGAGCCACTTTAAAAACACGACATTTACAGGGCTGGTTTGGGTTGGTAAAACCACACTGGACAGGGATTTATTTTGTAGCTCCAAATGGGGATTTGGATCTTCGTGCTATTTGGTCGTAACCCCTCTATTTCAGGGGTAAGAAGGCTGGATACATGGTCCTGGTACTTGGACTCGTCGCTAGCCTTTGGCAGACAGGATATTTTTTAAAAACCTCTCTGCAGAAGGGGGAATGCCTTTTTTTAGGCACCATTTACAGTCAGGCTGACCCATTATTAATAGTAGTTCTTTTGTTGCCTACACAGAGTTTTGCATTGAGGGCCCTATTCCCCACCTTGTCTGTGGTGGCAGAAATCTCATAAATGCCAATAGGAGGTAGGTGGCAGAAGTAAAACTCGGAGCTCAGCATCAGAATATCTCTGCTCCCAGCCCTTGAAGTTCAGACTCCAATTCTATACCTGAATACTGTGTGGTCTCTTCCTAGATTAGCCTATAAATCATTCCATAGTTGGTGCTATTCAGTGGGGCTGCATATGGCACTGAAATCTAAACACAGCTACATAAATAGCACTCTGTTTCTTGAAAGCCATGACGCTTTCAGAAAAACGATACCGTAGAGATCTCTCTGAAATCTTTCAGAGATTCCATGCTTGTACGCAGTTCTTCTTCTTTGGGAAAAAAATCCCAATGCATGTCTTGGCTAAACGAATCATTCCAAAATAAATGGTTCACTTAACATGCATATAGCATGGACAGCTAATGATTCCCGGGGTAGTGATCCTCCTAAAAGAGGAGCCAGACATTTGAAGGGATCAAATAACAATACCAGTACATCGCACTCTCAAGCTTTCTGCATAGCCAAAGAATGTGCTTATCGTAGCCAGATATATGTTTTATGAGCAGCTTCACGGGCACGGGAAACCTGGTTCTGCTTTACAATATGGAGGAAATTGAATTAATTAATCTTGCAATTTTTAAATGGCCTTTCACATTGTCTTCTAATCTCATCTTTTTCTTTTCCTCCACCCATGCCAACAGCGTGTGTGAGCACAGCAGAGAGAATCTGATGTCCCCATCCAACATGGGGGTTATATTCGGCCCCACCCTTATGCGGGCGCAGGAGGACACTGTCGCTGCCATGATGAATATCAAGTTCCAAAACATTGTGGTTGAGATCCTCATCGAGCACTTTGACAAGGTATGGGGCCAGCCCTCAAGAGCTTGCCTCAAAAGCTCACTAGTGCTCTATCAAGTCCTTGTGGATCATTGTGCTGTGTGGTCTGGAGCACTGGCTTGTTTTGCTGGATTCCTCTTATGGTTTTAATTGTACTATTCAGAGATGCACAAAGTGGAAGCAAAAGCTGTAACAATCACATGTTCTTCACAGTTTCCTTTGGTTACTTCATAAAGGCAGCCCCTTAAGAAAGCCAAGCACTCACGGCTTTAACAGAAGAAATTCCCCACTGGGAAACTTGCTATATAGCTGTACAGTATGGGAGTTTTACATTTTCCTCTGAAGCAACTGGTGTTGACCGGGGACAGAAAACCAAACTGTATGGACAATAGGTCTCACCTGACATGGTCCGAAATAGGTAACTGTAGAACTACTCTTAAGTGAAGTCTCTCTTAAGTGACTTCCTAAAGGATCAATAAAAACAAGTTGCCTGTTGGATAGGGATTTTTTTAACTAAAAATTGAAGAAAGCCACGTGTGGCAGTACTTCAAAGTGATCTCTTGAGAGAGGAGCTGCCAATTGGAGGGGGAGTCTTTAGTGCAAGTTTCAGCATACATCTGACATTTTTGAGTTCTGTATAGAGTAATATTTTGCCCATAAAGCTCTAGACAGTGGAACTGGCGGAAAGGACCAGCTGCTGATACAGAATTTTGAAAGAGTTCACGCTATTATTATTTAATTATGGAGGTATTGATAGCAGCTCTATATTTAAAGTTGCACCAAGGTTTTCATTTTCATGGGACCTTTATTTAATATTTGTATTACAGTAGTCACCAGAAGCCTCAATCAGGATTGGAGCCTCATTATTGGAGCCTCATTATTGCCCCAGGGGTCGGTCCTGGGGCCAGTTTTGTTCAATATCTTCACTAATGATCTGGAGGATGGTGTGGATTGCACCCTCAGCAAGTTTGCAGATGACACTAAACTGGAAGGAGAGGTAGATACACTGGAGGGTAGGGATAGGACACAGAGGGACCTAGACAAATTAGAGGATTGGGCCAAAAGAAATCTGCTGAGGTTCAACAAGGACAAGTGCAGAGTCGTGCACTTTTGACGGAAGACTCCTATGCACTGCTACAGACTAGGGACCGAGTGGCTAGGCAGCAGATCTGCAGAAAAGCACCTAGGGGTTACAGTGGACAAGAAGCTGGATATGAGTCAACAGTGTGCCCTTGTTGCCAAGAAGGCTAACAGCATTTTGGGCTGTATAAGTAGGAGCATTGCCAGCAGATCGAGGGACGTGATCATTCCCCTCTATTCGGCATCGGTGAGGTCTCGTCTGGAGTTCTGTGTCCAGTTTTGGGCCCCACACTACAAGAAGGATGTGGAAAAATTGGAAAGAGTTGAGGGGAGGGCAACAAAAATTATTAGGGGGCTGGAGCACATGACTTATGAGAAGAGGCTGAGGAAACTGGGATTATTTAGTCTGCAGAAGAGAAGAATGAGGGGGGGATTTGATAGCTGCTTTCACTACCTGAAAGAGGGTTCCAAAGAGGATGGATCTCGACTGTTCTCAGTGATAGAACAAGGAGTAATGGTCTCAAGTTGCAGTGGGGGAGGTTTAGGTTGGATATTAGGAAAAACTCTTTCACTAGGAAGGTGGTAAAACACTGGAATGCGTTACCTAGGGAGGTGGTGGAATCTCCTTCCTTTGAGGTTTTTAAGGTCAGGCTTGACAAAGCCCTGGCTGGGATGGTTTAGCTGGGGATTGGTCCTGCTTTGAGCAGGGGGTTGGAATCGATGACCTCCTGAGGTCCCTTTCAACCCTGATATTCTATGATTATGCCTGGTGCTATACAAAAACCTGTTTACACACACACACACAAGCTGATGTTGATCATGGCTGTCTCTGTTGTGATGGAATGTAGAGTACTCTGCTACCTAATGTATTGGTGATTTGTCACTAATAATATCTGGTATAAATTTAATCATTTGGTATTTTGGGGGGGTAGTTTGGAAGAGTATAATTGAGTTTTATAATAAAATGTGAAAACTGATCAGCTGCAGCATTCAGTAAAAGGTATTAGGGTCAGATTCATTCCTGCACAACTTACTAGGGATGAATTTGGCCCTTTATCTTTACTTAGTGCCCTTGATCACAGAATACTTCATAGAGAAAGTCCAGAATACGAGAAGAGGAAAGCTGTAAAGCATGCTTTAAGGAGAGGTAGTTACCTGCCTTTGAGGAGGATGGAGAAAGAGTTCCTGTGAGACAGATCAGCACAAGTGAAAAGTGACCCCCGCACACACACACACACTTCTGGGGAGGGGAGAGTAGGTCAAATGTGAAGGAGCACAGTAGTTGAGAAGGTGGGCGTATGGTCAGAGGTAGAGCAGAGATCAGAACAGAAGAGTGAGTCGTAGATGGTGGTGCTGGGGTTTGGATGAGTGGATGGATGAATCCATGGAGATTTGAGTACCTGCAGGATAATTTTAGTTGGATTTAGAAATTGACAAGAAGCCAGTGAAAATAACACACCTTGGTTTCATTACAGTTCATTGAAACCATTCCCTAGCAAGCTCTTTCAACTGAACAGCTAGTTGATTATAAGTTAAATGCTCAGATTCTGCACTACAGTATGGCCTCTCTCTTCTGTGTTATAGAGTTTGCAGCCCAGATAATGGCCTGCAGAGGGGAGCCAGGGAAAATGTATGATTACTCTGCCATCTCCAAGCTCTGGAATGAAATTTTAATTAAGACAGACCTCTGCTTCCTTGCCTTTAATTTCCGCAATGATAAGGTTAAGCTAGTAATGTTTTATTAGACTGAGCTTATAAACGCAGCTTCAGTATCTAAAATATCTTCAACTGACATATAAGCAAATACTTCAAATGAGTTTGAAGTAGAATAGATATATTATTTATATAGTGCATTATGAAGACTCTAAGGACAAGGAAATTCACTAAGTCAGTTTGGGTAATTATTGCTTCAACAGCTTAAATTTCCATGCCACAGCTAAATTAAAAATTTGATTCCTCTGGAAATAACTCCTGTTGCTGTATGAACTTTAGTGTCTAATGCTGAGATTGGGTCAATATCATTATATTTCTGAATTATTTAAATTTGATTTTCATTTCAAAATACACAAAGCAAACAGGGCTTGTGTCAGCATCTTGGAAAGCTGTGGATAGCTGCATATTTCAGCAGCACTTACATATCAAGCTAGAAAGCATCTCCTGCATTTGCCTGTCTGTGGTAATGGTGTAAGAGTTGATGCTGGAAGTACTCTTCCTTTAAGAGCCATGATGTGACTTTCCTTAGCGCATTGCAGACAGGAAAGAGGTTGGCGTTTCAACAGGTTTTGTGAAACTTGCCTTAGTATTGATTCATTGATCCTTATTCTGCTATTTTAATGACTCCCAAAGTTGTGCTTTTAAATCATGGGCTAATAATGCCAAAGAAACCTCCTTGGCATCAGGGCAAAGGGAACACTCTGGACCTTCGTATTCTAGGATGGAGAAAAAGTATCGCCATCTGCAAAGAACTGAACCACTGGAGTCAGAGTCTGTTAAATGTCGACAGCTGCTTTATGTCACAGGATCTCAAAGCAAAAGATCCAAACCCAAGAGACTGGAGTTTGGAAGAGATTCCTGAATTCTTGCCCTGAATTCAGAGAGGCAGCTGTGTGCATACAGCTGCAAAGCATGGAATATCTCTCGTGCTGAATACAAAGAGAGATGGGAAAAAGCAGGAGCACACGCCCAATCCTAACAAACAGCATTTGTACCAAACTGACTGGAGAGTTTGAGAAATGGTTAATGCCACTGAAAATATTACATCCCTGTACTTGCTTGATCAGTAGAGAGAGATCATGCTCCCTACTGCTCACATGCTGGTATTGTAAGTTAGACCTTGGGGAATCTGATTGCAGAGATGCCTGGGACCTGTCATCACTTTTATACATTCTGCCAGGTCTTCATGACCCAAGAAGATTCAGGAAAAAGAAGCTGGAGAGTGTTACACTGTCTCATCCCACTTGTTTGACCTCACAGAATTTCTCTTGGTTTGAAAGAGGAAGGAAATCAGTTTTCTAACAAAGAAATTGTTTTATACAGGGGAAAAAGTGATTATTACATTTAAAACATGTGTGAATGACTCCCCAAAAATCCCTGAACCAAAAATAGGTGCAGAACGGGCAGTGGCCCAGCATGCTTCCCCACGCAGTGAGAGTCCCCTCTCCAGTGACAAAGTGGTTCAGTCTCCAGGCTTCATTCATTTTCTGTTCTTTCTGCCAATGCTGCTAGCAAAGGTGTCAGTTATGAAATTTTTTACGATTGGGATTCTTGTCCGTGACCAGCAATCCATTCCACACAGGCCACCTAACTGTCAGATCGTCATGATTTTTGGTAGCTATCAACCCAGGCCAAGTTTAGATCAGTGATCTAAAAGGGAACATCTCTGTATCCCGTTACAGTTGCCCTGAGCCATCCATTCCCGGCCTATACAATAACTGAGCATTTAGCGCCCAATCTAATCCTCTGTAACATCAGTGGAAAGAATTCAATAGCAGTTGGATTGCGGCCTTCATATGGTATTTTATGTCTTCAAAAGCCTGTTCAAAGGTTAATCAATGCTTCTTCAACTGTGAAGAAAGGACCTGAATAAATGAGAGCAACTAAATTAAAACCACCCAAGTCAGAAGTAAGGGCTGGATGACCAGTATGACAGGGAACCAGATTTATTAATAAACGATTGTTTAAGACAAATTAGTAACTGAGCAGCCATGGGTCTGATGGTTTCTTTTGATGCTAATGCGGGGGTTGTTTGAATGATTTCTGCAGAAGATTAAATTTGCTCTTCTCATCAACTGTCTGCTTTGAGGCCTGGTTAATATGCCCTGCCATCGTGTGGAAAGGCATGTTTTATTAGGGTTTTTTTATAGCATTGTCTAGTTTAGCATTTCAGTTTTTGAAGTGGGTGCGTGCAAAGCTGCATAACAGGAAATCTGTCTAGAAAAAAGCCCACACCAAGAGACATAGCAGCCTAGTGAACACAGTTAGTAATGCACAGCTTTCCCCAAAGCTCAGTGGTTGTACTGAACCTTACTCCACCACATTTGTGCTGCTCCGATGCTGCAAACAGACCAAAAAGCTGGTATAAGCAGACAGCTAGGGATTTGTCCAGCACAGGAGAATTCCTAGGTGCTGCAGGACTGTCATAGCCAGCTCATACGCTATCTAGGGTGGCCAGGTGCCTGGTTTTTGACCAAAAAGTCCAGTCGAAAAGGGGACCTGACAGTGTCTGGTCAGATCTACTAACCGGACACCTAAAGTCTGGTTACTGCAGGCAAGGGAGGAGGGGAGGCAGCAGGTCATCACCCGCACCAGCCCCTACTCAGCCGGGGCTGCCTCCTGCCTGTGTCAGGTGGCTGCCGCTCCCGGCCTTGGCTCTGCATGCGAGTCCCTCCTGACCCGGGCTGGGGGATGCCGGGAGGGGAAAAGCAGCGAGCGACAGAGAAGAGGAGTGGATGGGGGCGGGGCCTCGAGGGGAAGGGGCAGGCAGGGGCAGGGCCTCGGGGAAAGGGGCAGGGGCAGGGCTTTGGAGGGAAGAGGAAGGGCACAGGTGGGACCTCTGAGGGGAAGAGGCGGGGCACAGGTGGGGCCTCGGGGGGAAGTAAGGGGGCAGGGGAAGTTCCAGCACTCCTGCTGCAGTGTCCGGTTTTTAAATATTACCAAGGTGGCAATCCTAATGCTATCCCCTCTCCTAGCCTTGGTGTAGAGAGGCTGTTGGCAGCATTAGAGCATTGCTGCACTCTAGTGATCCCTGGTTCTCCTACCAGCCCCATGGGGACAGGGGAGAGAGGTATTCAGCCAGCATAGTTTAGAGCAACCCTAAAACAGCTCTAAACTAAGCTGGACGAAGTGTAAACTTAACTCCAGGATTGCTGAGCTGCACATGGCTCCTTTGCAGCTCCCCCAGTCAACTGCACCCAGCACTTATTGGACATAGTTTAGGACTGATCTCTAGGTGTATACTTTATCTCAGTGAGATGCATTTCCCTTATTACCCTGCTCTTGAGTCACATGGCTTTGGGGTGGGAGTCTGTCCTTTGGAAAGGGAGTGCATGAATCATGATCAGCAGATCTTAAAACATAGCAGGAGCTTTGCAAAAAATCCAAAGTCGACTCTTTGGATTTGAATGATTAACATTCAAATTAACTAGCCAATGATAACAGTAATAAGAGGTTGTCCTTCTATAACACCTTCCAGTCCTTTACAAATAGTAATAAATAGATCATGACAATACTCCCGTGAGGGAAGGAAATAACATAATCCAATTTTACAGGGGGAAACTGAGGCACAGATAAGCCAACTGAATTTCCCAGCATCACAGATGCATGTCAGGGTCAGAGTCAAGAATAAAACCCTAGTCTCTCAGTTCCTAGATCTGTGCTTTTAATCCAAGACCATTCTTCCTTCCTGTTCAGAGCTTTGAATCTTGATGTCAAATGTAATCCATTTGAGGATGACTTCTAGTTAAAAATCTGTTTGATTAAACCCCAGGAGTCTGGCCTGATTGGCCCAATATAGTGAGTGTCAAGTAACAGTGGAGCAGAGGATCAACTGAAATCATATCCTTCTAAATCACTCTTCCCTACAGATCTACTCCAGCCCACCTGAGGACAGTGCTGCCCCCCCAGTGCCTCCTCCCAGGGTAGCTGCCCGAAGGCACAAACCCATCACAATCTCCAAGCGCCCGCTGAGGGAAAGACCTGTCTTCTATGGTGGTTCCCTGGAAGAAAATCAAGGTCAGTTCAGCTGTTCACTGATACCGCTACCACCTCAGTCTCCAGCTCTTACAGTTCTCTGGTTGGCACTGTACGCTGGATCCCAGCTTCCCACTCATTGTGGGAGGGATGGATTTGAAACTGCAGCAACAGCATCACATTTCCAAGGGCATTAACGTGTGGGGTGGGAAGAGGGGTTGTTCGGAGTTTTTGTTTCCCCTTGTAGAAAGTGGAAGGAGAGTAAATATCTGCATTTAGGCTGCTTCTGATCTAACAGCTCCTAAACTACTTTGGAGCAGGGTTTTCTCATAGCTTGATCCTTCAGAGATCTAAATTAAACACCGTGCTCTTCCATTCGAAAGGGCCTCACAGTTCCACAGATAAAAGTGCAGCGTAATGTAAATAAGTTCATAGATTTGAAAAATAAAAGCATCTTCTCTAGCACAGCATATGAGATGCAGCTCTAGCGTCAATTCCAGCAGCGCTGAGCCACGGAGCGCAGTCAAGCTAAGCAGATCAGTGCTTGCTTTAAGCCCTAGGATTGACTTACTTGTACTGAACAGAGCTCGATACTGAGAGAGCTCGTGATGAGCCTGAGCCACTGGCAATTCAGGGTGAAGCAAGTGAGGCACCGCAAGAAAAATAAGAGCAAGGAATTGAGTCATTGCTTAACAAGCCCTGATTAAAGCATTTCCCCTGTTGAATTTATTTTGTTGGTTAGTATTTACTAATACAGAGGCACACTGCTGCATGTTGAAGGGGCACAGTCAACTTCTACTCATGCTTTTGTCTGCAGATGTTTTACCAGTTGTTGTTACAAGTTACTCCTAAGATCATTACTTGTTACTCCTGTTGCTGAAAGAGATTAGGAAAAAAATAGTTCTCTGTTTTGTTTTCAGTTTGTTTACTTTGTGCTTTTGGACTTGAACTTGCAAGTTTGAGCATTTGGCCCAATTTACCAATTCATTTAAGCACATGCTTAACTTTAAGCACTAGAGTAGTCCCTTAAAGTTGGTGGACCTACTCAGGTACTTAAGATTAAGCTTGTGCTTAAATGTTTGCTGACTGAGGACCAGGGTGTTGACACCTTGCAGGTCAAAGACCGTAGTGCAGTCAGTTTCGCTGTGGTGCACTCAGTTGTTTGTATGGATCTTTCACACAGCAACGGGGAAAATAAAAACATTTGCAAAACTATGAAAACATGGTAGTAAAACCACAAAATCTGTCAGGGGGGTTCACGGGCAAGTGTATTCCCAGAAACGACTTTTATTTTTTATGTTTTTAAATTGACTAGGAAATGGAAGTCAACAGTGTCCCTCTAAAAATCATAGATTTTAAAAGTACATCAGTAGATTTCCTTTTCTCACCTTAGATTAGTGAAACTGAAGTAACGTTTCACAGTCACTTGTTTCTCACCACCAGGGCAAGCGAGTTCCCTTTCGCACTGCACACAGTGTGGGCCACAAAAGCAGACCAGGCAGGTTTGCTAATTTCTAGTTACTATCACAGACCCTCGGAGCCTGTTTTCAAAGGCATTGCGAGCAGCGAGTGCTGAGTGAGCACTTGTGAAAATCAGGCCCTGTGCATCTCAGGGTTTCGCCTGGTGCCTGCATTTATTCCCTTTAACTTCGGTTCCCAGGTGACACCCGTGATCAGACTCCTAACGGCACCATCATCTCGAATAGTACAGAAGCCCCCAAGCCGCTACATCGCAGCAGACTGCCTACACAGAGAGCAGGGGAGGCTGATCCTGGGAGGCCTGGCTCAGAGAGCAAGCATGAACAGTCCTCTGAGGTGGTTGTGGGAAAGCTGGTGTCCAAGCTGCAGGATGGGGGAGCTAAGCTCGCCAACAAGGCCGCAAACGGAGTGGTGACTGGCACCACTGCTCTAAAGACCTCTGTTGTCCATGCTAAGAGGCCTACTCTGAAGCCCATGATATACAGCAAGGAGGGTAAGTTTTCTGCTTTGGGAGGTCTCAGCTGACCTTGGGTGGAACTCTTGCCCATCTTGTTGCACTGCAGAAATCACAGCAAACATTGTGACAAGCACCCCAAATGTTTTGCGTTTTGTCAGACTGGAGGGGGAGGGGGTTTGCAGAGGGAAGTGCTATTTTTGCAACCTGTGTCTCTTTTCATGCAGTTCAACAGTAGGGGACCTGAGATCAAAACCCTCACATGGACCACTGGAGCCGGACCCTCCTCCTTCTGAGGACGTTCTGATCCAGATCCAATCATCATGCATTCAGCTCATTTTTATTACAGACGGGTTTGTAAGCTCAGCCTGTTGCTTACTGATGGAGGAAAGGGCATAGATTGGCCTGTGCTATTTCAGAGCTTTATGTAGCAATGCTGATACGGTAGACTAGTCCTCTGAAGCATTAGAGTTGGCATGGGCACAAGACATGCTGGGAACTCATGCAAGGGTTCGACCTTTAGATTCAGAGATCACATAGTGGCCCAATGGACTCTGTAAAATCAGAATTCAAATCTGAATAGAAATGATTCAGAACCGTCTAAGATGAGTGCTTTAGATATTGAAAACTTGAGTAATTTGAAAAATACAAAATGCTTTTAGCTGTTTAGGCAGTGCACTTGCATTTTGTATTTCTCTCAGTGCAGACAAAGAAAATCAATGAAGTCACTTTTACTTTTGCTTATAGTCAGTTTTCCTTTTAGGTTCTTGATGCTGCAATGGCTGGATTGCACACACTGGCAGGGCAAGATTTATTTCATCTGTTTCCACTGGAATTTTAAAAAATCAAGGAAGCATTTCTATTTAGCACAAATGTGATAAAAAACTTGTTTTCTTTTGGTAATTTAAAAGACTCAATTTGGGACCAAATTTAACTTGACATTTTCCATTTAAAATAGATAAAGGAAGGTGTGGTACTTTGCCAAAATGTACAGATCACTCCAATGACACAGATGTGGGTTGTTTATAAAAAAGAAAGATGATTGTTTTATGCATTGACAGCTCTTCCTGTGTTCATCTCTCTGCTTGCTAGATGCTTTCATAACCTAATAGCCTTCACAGTCTCGCACTTAGAAAGGAAACAGTAGACTGCACACTTATGTTGACTCCTGGGTATAATAAAAAGAAAGAGAATAACAAGGTTTGGCTTGGTAGCATAACCATAAAGTTAATTTGAATAATACTACTGATCTCATATAAATCTGACCTATAAGTATTGGATAGAAATCTGCTTTTGGTATAATAGGATGGTTTTTACATATGGAAGTGGCTGAACATTAACTGCTATTTTGCATTTGAAGTTATTATGTTATTATAATGTAACACATTGCATCTCTATAGTGTGTCCAAAGTACACACATTGACAAAATAGGCTAATGCGATTTTGGGATGTATAAACAGTGAATCTCGAGTAGGAGTAGGGAGTTTATATAACATCTGTATTTGGCACTGATGCAGCCACTGGAATACTGTGTCCAGTTTTGGTGTCCATAATTCAAGAAGGGTACTGAAAAATTGGAGAGGATTCAAAGAAATTCACGAGAATGATTAAAGGATTGGAAAATATGCCTTATGGTGAGAGACTCAAGGACCTCAATCTACTTATCAAAGAGAAGGTTGGGGGGTAAAGTGATCACAATCTATAAGTACCTACATGGGGAACAGAAATTGGGTAAAAGACGGCTCCTCAGTCTACCATACAAAGGTATAACAAGATTGAGTGGCTGGAAGTTGAAGCTAGACAAATTCAGATTAGAAATAAGTCATCAATTTTTAACATTGTAATACATTTTTAACTGTAATATCTTACCAAGGTTTGTGGTGCATTCTCCATCACTGGAAACTTTTAGAAAACAATCCAATTTTGATTTAAAAGAGATATAGATATAAATAGATATAGTCAAGTTTAACAGGAATTAATCTATGGCCTGTGTTATGCAGGAGGTCAGACTAGATGATCACAATGTTTCTTCTGGTTTCATAATCTATGAATCAGTCAAAATGCTTCCTAAAGAAGTTGGGTAGTGGCTTGGAAGGTGAAATGGGAAGAGAAAGAATGATTTAGTGTCACAGAGGAAGGAGGGAGAAAGGATTTGGAGAGATTGAGTGGCACAAATGAAAGAGCATTTTACCCCACAACCTTCTGCCAGTGGTGGCAAGACAAGGTAAAGGATGGAGGAGGTCAAAGTAGATGGAGTGCAGTGACTGAGCAGGGCCTAGGTTGATAACAGGTCAAAGAGTTTGGGTGCAGCAGGGCCATGGAGAGTTTTGAAAAGTATGATTGCAGTGTTCAGCTGGATTCTGAGATGGATAAGAAGCCAGGCCAAGGAACTCAGGGTGGGAGGAATAGGAAACTGGTGAAGGGAGTGGATAGGAATCCAGGGAAGGGGAAGGAAGATGCATGGAGCAGAGTAAATATAGTCTAGCTTCCTGGAATAAAGGCCTAGTGTGAAGTTTGGTGAAGCAGAGGCTCGGGAAGGTCCTAAGAGGCAACTTCAGTAATCTCAGCTATGACTGAGCATTAGAATTTAATCAGTCTCTCCCTGATTCCGTAGAGAAGCACTGAACATGGTTTCCATTGGAAAACCTTGTGGTTAGTTTTTTTTATCTCAAATAATGCAATAATAGCCTCAGAGACATTGAACAGGGTCAGTTTGCCGTGAAACAGTAATGTCTGCCTCTGGTTGTGCAGTTAGATTCCCATAGTGCCCCTCTCTCCAACCAGCCTGAAACTTCTGCCTCTTCACAATCTTTGGCTCTCACTCCAAAGCATTGCTGACAGTGTTTGTCATCTTCAACCTTTCAGGTGAGTACGACACCTTCACTAAAGTTCGATCCCCTGGAGATAAGCCAGTGATAACACGGCCCCCAGTGAGACCTCCAGACCCTCCGTGCAGAGCTCCCCCACCCCAGAAGCTGGAGCAGAAGCCTGAGCCAATAGCAGGAGGAGTGGAGGAAATGCCTTCATCTGTGTAAGTAGGAAATCCCCATCAGGGCTGTGTGCCCGGACTTAAAAGCCCAACAGGAGGCAATTCCTAGCAGTCAAGGGATTTGGAAAATGTGCAGAAGGAAAAGGCAAGGTGATAAAAGCCATACAATGGCACTAATCAAATGAAACCATGAGCCTTTTGTAGTTTAGTCATGGGGACTCCATTTCCTCCCCAGGGCCCTCTGTTGTGTCCAGTAACAATGGTATGAGAAACGTCTAATCACTTCTGGGTGAACAAGCCACACAAAAGAACAAACTTTCCAAGAAAGAGTTGATGCTGCTTGGATTTGTTCTCAGCAAAATGAGGGGGAAGCTGACCACTAATTAAACTGAGCTCTGTGCTCCAATTTCACTTACATTATAGCTGACAATAATCCCATTGGACTCAATGGGAGTGTTCTTACGTAAAGAATGACTAAAGATCTCAAGATTTCACCATTGACTTCAGTGGGAGTTTGGCTTGAAGAAGGGCTTCTAAGTGTTACCAGCAAAGAATTCACTGTGTGCTACTCGTGCGGTAATACCATAACCGAGCTTACATTTTTCATTGCTCTGTCACCCTGTCAGGGTCTGACACTGACACTGGCTACCTGATACTTTATCGTGGACCCCTATGCTGGCATTTCTTCCCACTCTCCTATAGATCACAAGGTCGTAGGGTTAAGATTTCTACCTGCTTCCTCCCCCAAGCCCTCACATACCCCATTGCAGATGACTTGCTGTTATGAAACATCCTTTGTGACCACATTCATCCATTTAAGTACACAAAAGCCAATGAAGTGTCATGCCCTCAATGGAACAAGAGGTGCGATACCCAGTGTCATGGCACAGCATGGGGAAAGCAGTGTCCTTTGTTCAGAGAGGAGCAGAGTCTGAGGTCCCCGTGCATTGTGCTCCCGACATATAGTGTCTCTGGAATAGCCCTGCTTGATTTGGTGAATAACTTTCAGTTAAGCAGTGTTATGTAGTTGATCCAAATCCTGCAATTTGCACTTCTTACTCAGGTCAAATTCCTATTGGTTTCAGTGGGCCTTATGCCTGAGGAAGGATGGGCAAAGGTTGGCCTGTTACTGTTAATCGTTTGCTGTGATTCCTTTCTGTTACAATTACAATTGGAAGTCAGGTCTGTGGTAAGCCCGATGGAGATCATAGGTCATAAAATTAAGGATACAGGGATTAAAGATCCTCAAGCAGAGAGGTTTAGGCCGTTGGGCTGCAGGCAGTAAGACATCATCTCTGGCAGCAAGCGGTCAGTACTGTGTCAGGCAAGAGCAAAACCAGAGGTGTGAGAGCAGAAGTAGCATCTCTGATCAGACCAGAGAAGGATATTGGTAGGATGCTATTGTTGACCATCCTCAGTGCTTTCCAGTGGCAGCCTATCTCCCTCCCCTCACCAAATAATTGCTCTTTGATACAAATAGTGTCTCATCAAATAACTGCCTTATCGTGGGAGAACTCAAAGAACTTTGCTGGTTTTGTTTGCAGAGTGGCCTCCAGAACAAAGTTCTTCGAGACAGCTTCCCGGAGGACAAGCAGGTAAGAGATGCCAGGAACTAAGGTGCTTTCACACAAAAACACACACAAACAAAAAAGCCTGCACCTCAGCACAGAAGTGACCCTCTAATTACAAGTGGGCAGTGTAGGCAGGAGGCCCCCATCTGGTTCTTTCCTGGACTTCAGTATTCCTGGGTAAAGAGATGGTTTCCAACCAGAACACTGCATCAAAACAAAACAAACTTTGGGGCCTTCACAAGCTAGATCTGAATAACAATCTAGAGCTGGATCTGAATTTTGTAGTTTGAGTTCATATCTGCTAGGTAATAAATATTTCTTTCTATCATTGTGTTGATGTGAGTTCAGCTCTATGCCAGTGTGTTGGGTGTTTGGTTGTATTTCACAATACCCAGTATATGAAAAGCTTAGGATCAGCAAAAAGATGAGACTGATTGCTCCCTTGGATCTGTCCCCTTGGAAGTGCAGAGTATAACCTCGTTATACCGGATTAGACATTAAACTGACACTACACATAATCGGTTTCCAATTGGAACTCCACTGTTAATGAATATGATGGCTTTGAAGTCCATGTCAGATCTTCCGGGCAGGGTAGGGTGTCAGTGTTTTGAATTAGATACAGTTCACTCTTTCTTGCTGCTGTAAATTTAGTTCTGAGCAGTACCGATACATGCAGGCTTCATCTTCCCATTCTTATAGATCACCAGCACCACTGTTTGTTTTTTTGGCATGTACCAAAAGCACAATCATGGCTGTGTGTAGATCTTTTAGAAAGTGACAGATGGGGGGAAGGGGAGGATGTCTCTCTTAGTGATGCTTACAATTTTCTTGCCTAATGTACTGAGCAATATACATTAACCTTGCCTGCCATCCCATTCCTCCTTGTAGATTCATGGCCCTGATTTTAGGCTTGTTTATTAAATTGATTTTGTTTCTCTCCCTTCTCCTATCCCCTCACTCACAGCTCCTCATCACCGCAAGGCAGACTCCCAAGTGATGAGAGCTGAGGATAAAGGTATGTGTCTGTCACAGAAAGCAACCAACTGCATAATTTTAACCTGGCTTCAGCTGACTGGGTGGAAGGGAGGCCAGTGGAAGTAGCTGGGAATTTGTAAGGAGAGACAGATAGCGGCCTCCTCTCGCCTTCTCCAGCAGAAGACTGGGGAGGAGAGGTCGTCAGAAGTGGCCCATTTTCTCTTTCCTGGTGCAGTGTAGCAGGGCAAGGTAAACCAGTGTTCCGTGGAAATCTATTATTTCATGGCATGGATTCCACTGGCACCTGCTGCAGAAGCTGCTACCTATTCTCTGTGAACCCTGGCTATGGTCACTACTACTTTGTCCTACTGGGCTTTAAGGTAGATAAGTGTGTGTTTGAGTCCTTATTGTGAGGGGCCACCAACAAAGTTCATGGCCAGGTGCGAACAACCCCAGAAATAGGGCGTGCTTGGTTCAAGCCTGTTTCTAAGGGTTAAATGATCAATGTGTATTTGCCACCATTGACTGTCTCACACTGTTCACCTGATTGTTTGTTTTCTTCTTTCAGGCTTCTATCCACCTAACCCTGGCTGGCTCCAGGAGATTTTCCGTGCTTCTGAAATGGATTCCCCTGCTCCCCAGACTGTTTCAATCTGTGTGATGTGATCCTGGAGTGCAGCTGTCCTGTTGGACACTGACAGTGGAGCATACCATTGTGAATAGCTCGTGCAGTTAAAAGAGAGGGGAATGAAATAGGAGGAAGACCCAGCCCTTGTCCCTGTTAAATTAAATGTTTGGTTTGGGCCATTTTGCCACAGCTCCCCTTGCTCCTGCCTTGGGCAACATGTAAAGGATGCTTGTCATATCTAAGGAGGGTAATAAACCATGGGACTGACAGAGTGGTGAGAGCCGACCTAATCTACAGAACTGAGCGGCAGGCAGGCCATGGAAGGAATAGCAGAGAGTACTGAAAGCAATCTGCCCTCCAACCCTTTGGAAATTCCACTCTGGAAAGACATTGAGCTTGGATGGATGTGCAGTCAAAATGCAAGCGACCAATACCCAGAGCTTGGGTACCTGGGTATGACGAGCTGACATCCTTTTGCTGTTGGAAAGTTCTTGCTATTGACATGCTGTTTTAAAAAAACTGGTTTGAGTGCTAAGTAAACCATATTGTGTTGTTTCAGTGGTTAAGGCATTACGAGAAAACTCTGTTAACCATATGGGTCCATGTCCTGGTTCCACTGAAGGCCAGTGTTCAGCCCAGCATACATATAGCTGTGCAATGTTCAGTCTCCCTACCTTCCCCCACAGACCTAAGGCAGCACCTTGCCCATTTCTGATCTTCCTTACATGCTGAAAATGTCCCCAAGCTATTCCCAGGAGCCAGTGTTCTGTTAGTCAGGGGCCTTTGTGGAGCTGCTCCCCGATTTCCGATTGCTTGGAAGAAGAGGTTACATGTTATTACAAACACCCTTCTATAAAGTTAGTGGGTCTGAAACCAAAGCAAACCTCCACGCCGTGTATTCCAGCTGTGCCTAGTGCACAAATACTGACTTGCCAAAGGACCACTGCAGAGCATGCAATTTGCTGGTGCTTTCAGAGCTGTCCTTATCGCCTGTCTGTGTGCAGCTAATGTGAAATCCTGCTTTATTAATGAATGTACTTCTGGTTTTTGCGGGAAATGACAGTGGTGTGTGAATGGTGTGCCTGTTCCCTTAGTCTGCAGTCCTGTGCTCACAGCTGGCAATCCCAGAGGTGTGCTTGTAGCAGTGGCAGGTGAAGGTGGCTTTTAAAAAAGTGATGTAAACATCAATATTACATCGTGCACATCAGCATCTCTGGGCTTTCAGAGTGTGTGAGCAGCCAGTCCAGTTCCTCCATAACACACTCTTGTGATTAGAAAATCACTATCAACACCAAAAAAGTAACATTCTCTTCAGGTGAAGTTGTTAAAAATGCACAAAGATAAGATGGCCCAACTGCAAGTGTGCATAGTGGAAACTGAGAGCTAGTGGTACAGTGCTTTCACCTGTATCAGAATTACACTGATCTTGTGGGGAATCTTCTCCAGAGTCTATGGACCAATTTCATCTGGTATCAGTGGAGCTGCACCTTTTTAATCCATGTCTGAATTTGGCCCTGACTCTCTCTCCAAGGAGTGGAGGACACAAAACCACCATTCTGCCACTAAGAATTTAGCCACCATTTTGGCCACAACTCTCAAAAGTTTTGTATGTGTGTGATCAGACAACATTTCCAAACGTGCCCTCTAATTTTGGATGCCCAGTTTTGAGACACCGTGGGTCTAGATTTTCAAAAGAGCCGAGCACCCAAAATTCCTGAAGTCAAAGAGAGCAGCAAATGCTCAGCAGCATTAAAACCCAGCCTCTAAGTATCTAAATATTAGTCACTCAAAAGCAGACACACCCAGAATTGGAGGCCCTTTGGAAAATGTACTGTTAATCATTCTCCCCACCGCCGCAGCTGTACTGATAAATCTTCTGTATGCAGAAGGAAATAAAGAAACAGAGCCAGATTCATTTGTCTTGCAGAAGATATCTGTGGGGTGGTTTTGGGGGAGGAATTGCTATTTATCCATGAGAAAAAGAACACAACCCACCAGAAGAGGTTTGTTTTTCAAATTTCTATTTAATTCTAAACAATGATGGGTAGCAGTGAATGAACCGCACTTCTCTCTGTCCTGTGCTCTTTTTCTCCATAAGCACAGCTGTATGCTGGGATGAGTGTGACATGGCTTTAATATGCAAGGTCCTGCAGTATGAGGGTTTGAGGGACATTCCCTCATGTCAGTGACCATGAGCAAAGCAACAGGAAGAAAGCTGGGGATTTGGCACAGCTGTTCTGAATTTTTTAGGTGCCATGTGACATCAACCATCTGATCTATTTTTTTCTTGTACAAAGGTTAAATTAGCTGTGATGTTCAAGTTTCCATGAAGTAAAAACTCAGGACACGTGTCCTTCAAAGTGTCGGTGCTCTCCCTTTTTTTAATTACATGAATTTTATTTAAAAAGCTTTAGCCCTCCGGATGGTATGTGAGCCAGGCCCCATCAGACACCGAATGGCTTTGCACATTCTGATGTGGATCACAGAAAGTGGAAATGGAGCAGACCTAACAAGCCCCATCTGGATCACAGAAAGTGGAAACGGAGCAGACCTAACAAGCCCCATCTGGGTCACAGAAAGTGGAAATGGAGCAGACCTAACAAGCCCCATCTAGTCCACCTTCCTACAGTGTTGGTCCCTGTTTGTCCCTTTTCTAATGCAGTGTCCAGTCTAGTAGAGAAGTCCCAAATGCTGATTTTCCCAAGTCCAATAGGAAAACGTTCTACAATTCAGAAGGGTTTGGTTTGGTTTTTCCCTGTTATTTCCTATGAATTCTTTCCTTAATTTTGTCCCATTACCACCTTGGACATAATTCCTAAATCAAGCCATAAATAATTCCTCTTCCTTCTAGGGTGGCTATAATACAACTGGATGAAAACAACTGAGTGGCTTGACCTTTAACTGAATGTGGTAAAAGCCTCCTGTGAATTCTGTGCTCCCATTTCACATGCAGACCAAGCTGGAGGGAGGTGTACAGGTCACCACAGTGCGTGCTAGGGGAGAGGAGCGGTGTTAGTACTCACCTACAACCCAGCCAAGATCAACAGCATTGACTGTTAATTTTGTAAGATGACCAAATTCCAGTGCCACTCTCCATGCAGCAAAAGCTACAGCAGAGAAAAATGAATCTCTGCTCGACTATAGGCCCTTTAATAGCTGTGAACTGGTAAGGGGGCAATAGGTTCAAACAGCTCCCAGAAACAGAGGAGCAAAGACACAAGGGTGATTTTTGTATGTATGAAACTGCTCCCCTCCCACAGCTAACACCCAGTGGAACCTCCATTGCAAGGGGCAGGTTTTCCTTAGCAAAGGGCTTTTCATTTCATCCAGGAAAGTTTATAAGTAGAGATGGGCCTGAACCAAAAACTGCAGATCTGCTTGTGTATGAACTTTAGATCCTGCTTTTAACTGGGAGCCGCATGCTCCTCCCTACTTGCAGCCTTTTTCTTATGCTGTGCTCGTTTTTCCTTTCTCTGGTTACAGCGGGCAGCCGCAGCTGGCCCTGGTGTCCTTCAGACATAATTTGCCCCATTGAGCCCTGCAAGGGGATGCACCAAGTGAGACTTCATCTTGCTAAGGAAAACCATTAGAGCATTAGAATTAGCCAATTGCAACAAGGAGCAAGTTTCCACCCACTGCTCCACATTGGGCTGACTTATAGCATGTTTCTCCTTTATTTATTCACTCAGAGTTGCCAAACACCATTGCTTCACAAGCCTCAGGCAGGGAAGTTGTGGGCAGACTCCAAGAAGCTGACTTGTATGAAGGGAGATGGCAGACTGAGAAAATGGGCCACAGCCAAATACCCATCTTCAAACATCTCTCCTTTTTGGTACAAAGGCAAAGAGTCAGGGTGACCACCCAAGGGTGCATCATTGCAGGAAGTGCCACAGGACTCACGGGGTATATTTAAACGTTGTGTGATAATGGGCCAATAGCTGAAAATATGCAGAGCTATAAAACCTCTATCATCATCATCATTAGACCCACAGCCAGTACTTGCCAACATAATGATTAAATAAAAGGAAATAAGATCTGACATTGTTACACTAAGAAGAAAGAAGGCTTCTGGAGACTGGGTTTTTATAGTAGTTTAATTCGTAGTTGTGGCTCTAGTAATAAGGGAAAACAGAACTATTTCCTTTGTTGGATAACAATTGAATACATAGCTGGAGCCTAATTTTGCTCTTGGTCACAGCTGTGTGATTTCACTGGATTTCACCTTTTAATACTTAAATGTTCCATAGTCGTTAATTTTTACAATGAGCTCATTTGTCTGGCGGGGTCTGTGCAGTTGTTAGCAAGTACATGCTTGCTCTGGGGTTCGTAATGCTGGGGTCCAGCACACTCAAGGCAAGTACTTATGGGCTGGTGAAGCCCCATCCTGTGTGGAGGATTATTACTGAGCGACAGTCTTTATGTTGCCTAGAATTTAAACGAAGTTTGCCTTGTTTAACCTCAGACCACTGAGTCTTGTTCTAGCTCCTTTTTCCCTCTGGCCTGCAACTGTTGTTCAATTCTTTTCTCTTATGTCCATTGCCCTGTTCGGATTGATGCTAATTTTGCACTATTACAAACATTTTTTCCCCAGTTCTGGGAATTTTGGTTTATTTTTCTAGAATGGCCCCTCCTGAAGACAAAGCACCCTTCCACTTTCAAAGAGAGGCCCGACACCAGTTGTAGAGCCATGACTGAGGAGCAGAAAAAGCAGATGGCAGCCTGAAAGGCCCAGAGACCATCCTAATGGTTGGGAGAATAAGGGATGGGGCTCAACAGCTACTAAAATGAGGAAGCTCAGGTGACAGTGGGCCAAGAGTCTCTCTGGCAGAAGGACTTTTATGAAAGAATGGATGGAGCAGCAAGAGCTGTTTGATCCGATAGCTACCATGAACACTAACGCCTATCACTGTTTCTGCCTCCTGACTCTGTCGTTAATGTCATTTGGTTTTAAGGTTATGTAAAGTCTCCCAAACCCACAGGCCACTGATTGTGAAGGCTTTTACCCAACAGTATCTGACGCCTGCACTATCAATGGCTGAAGAAGACCAAGAAGTTGACCTTTTAAGTCTCTCAGTGTCTCTCCTATCGATGGCTTGGGAAGGCTCAGTGCTGGGAAGGTAAGAAAGGAGAGGGAAATAGCTAAAAAACAAGTGTGATTGGCAAGGAGCCGAATGGAGCAGTCGTTCCTTTGAAAGGCTCAGCCCATGGGGTTGCTGCTGGGGAGGTGTCCTTGGCTGCTCGCCTTGGTGTGTGCGCTAATTTCACAGGAGGGTTACTCCTCTCAATCTGAATCCTTCTCATGCTGTCAGACCTCCTTTAAGGCACAAACAAGGCTCAGCCAGCCCTGTCTAGCTTATTGGCAAGTTTTACTCATGCCCTCTGGTTAGACAGCAGGGCCAGATTCTGGCCAAACTTGTCTCAGACTTGCAATTCATGTTCTTTCTTAATCATCCTTATTAGGAAGCATATATCTGAGGCCAGCATGAAAGGAGGGGCTCGGGTCTCCAACAGCCCCTGGGTGTTCAATCGGTTCTCTGATTTTTATCTAGACAAACCCATAAATAATTTCCATCGGCCTCTTTCATCTGTACAGAAAGGGCACTGTGAGACGGCGGCAGGGAAACTTCAAACGGCATCCAGGGGAAGGCTTTGCCAAAACACGTTTCTGCCCCATGCAGCTGCAGAGAATTAGCTTGGTCAGAGCTCACTGCAGTCTTTCTAAACCACTGGCTCTAGTTCCTTTAATAGTGTCGGGCATTTCTGCTGTGCCTGACAGCTTAACAGAGCCCCAAATGGCTCATACGTTGGGTGTAGCTGTGCATGCAGCCACTGCGGAAGTGCAGCCATTCCTAGGGCAGTACACACAGTCTTTTGTAAGAGCAGGCAGGAACAATACACAACAGTTGTGTGCGGCCAGTGAAGATGCAGCTGGGGGTGATGGTATTAGCTATTCTCCATCCTGCGTTAGCTCACTTGCAGCCTGGGACATTATAATCTACTTATTGTGGTAGGGATTGTTGGCTGGGACATCAAAGTTATCCCCAACACTCTTCTGAATTGTGCCCTGGGTTCTTCCACCTAACCAGTGACTGGAGGCAGATGTGACTTCAGTTCAGTGTCTCAGCTGAAAGTGGCATCCTTGACTCAGAAGTCATCAAATGCCACCAGACACCGGATAACTACCAGGCCTGGTGTGCAACTTGACCCCATGATTTTCCAGCCCAAAGGCATGTGCTGTCAAATGGGCTGGCCTTATACTGACTAAAGGATGGTTCAAGACCTACTGAATGCCTTGTTTGAGCATTTTACGCCCCAGAGTATGTGTCTTGTGCTTCTTTTTTATGCCTCAGGCGGCATGGCTGCGTTTGGCTATTTTATATTTCCTGCACCCTATTATAACAAAGCACCAGCTACTGTTCTATGGCCACAGAATTCTGTGGTCCTTTTAAAGAGCCTGCAACATCCAAGGCTGCAAATATGATTCCAAGATGTCTGTCTGGGCCTTTCCCACCAGCGGTAAGATTTACTGTGGCACTCCTCGTGACAGCCTCTCAGAGAGTTAGCACAAGAGGAAAATGATTTTGCGGCTACCGAGTCTGCGCTGAAGCTTTGGTCTTTTCCCAACTGAACTCCCTCACGTGGCAATGGCCTGTAGACACATACAAATAGTACATTTTCTCCCTGAATTCTTGTATTCAGCTCTCACCACATTATGTTCAATGTTTCCTTTGCTTTTCTCTTGATACATTTCAAATGGAATGGTTTTCTGCTTTCCGGTCAAGACAGCCTGGCTTAGTAATATAATGTAGCACTGCACTATACCCTGCCACTTTGATCAAACGAATACTGCAAATGGCACCCTATGGGGAATATTGTAGAAAACTCCTAACGCTTCCCAGCCCTGCTGAGTC